AGACACACCTGGTCCCCCACCGCATAGCTGATCCCGCCCTGCCACACGTACGTCAATGCTGGGATCGGGCTGGTGGGCATGGCTCGGGACTGCTGGAGGCGACGAGAAAGCGCTGGACTGCTGCTGCTGTCGCACTTCAGCTGACTTATATACACGCTCACGGGAGGGACGAGACAAAGAGTCCGCCCAGAGCGCGGTGGACCCTGGCTTTGGCCGGAGCAATATTGCAGAGGCCTCATTTCATCCAAGAAACGGCCTCCCATTGTGTGCCCAGAGGACAACAACAAAGAGCGATCAGAGCCTAAATGGAACAAAGCACTATGCTGCACATCAGCAAGTTCGCCGCCGCTAAGACAGATAAGACAATTGAGAGGCCAAGTCGGTGGCCCCGAAAAAATTGTCCCCGACCTCGGTATTCTCTCTCGCTGCATGATATTGGAGAGAGTATGGCCAGCCGAATCCCAACGTCGATCCGATCATCAGACCCGTGCGTGCGGGATTTCCCGACGGATGCTGTGCCAAGGTTAGAATCGCAGCCGTGCATTTCCAGTCTGCCCGCACAACGTCCCCGTGGACACCCACCACCGACCCGACCGCGATCAGATCTAACAGTGCGAAAGAAGCAATGCAATGTGGTGTGGTGTCATACAGTCGTGCGTAACACTAGAGTCAGTAATGTACCTATACTGTATGTATGTCCAAAAGAGTGTGTAATCAAAAAAAAGTCCAAGATAGCTGCAGCAGTAGTGGCTCAATTGTGGCTCGTGAGCGTCCATTGATCCAATCCTACCGACGGCGGCGTGACGAGATTCGCACCGCTCGCCTGTGGGCTGAACAGCACCTGGAGCGAGTATGTTCCTGGGGGTTGTGCATCAATACACACACGAAAGACGAGACAAGATCAAGAGCTACGCACCTGCAGGCAGGCTGATCATGAGCACAGTCACACCAGGATTGGGCTGGTCAGGGATAGGGGGCGTGACATCAGACGGGAACCGGACCGCAGGGCCCGTGGTGAACTGGGCGCCATTCGGTGCATTCAGCATCTCGACCTTCATCGTCTGCCCATCCAGCGACAGCGACGCGGACGTTCCCGACGAGTCGACGGAAACAGTCGCGTTCGTGTGCGCGCGCCACATGACGCCGGCGGATGCCGTGACTTCGTCTTGGAGCAGCACCTGGGTGCGAGCATTCAGCAGTCGGATTCCCCGTTTGACAGATGTGCTATAAAAGAGTCGTCAACTATGCAAGCACAACGCAAAAATGGGCACTCACGCGTTGAAGTAAGCCGAAGTCATGTCTCTGGAGTACGCGTCAGAAGCTCTACTCTCGACAGGGATGATCGTCGACACTCACGTTACAAAAAAGGCCGTCGAATCTTGCGGGACCTGCATAACGGTGGTGGGGCCCTGTGTCGTGTTCGAGGTCCCAAACTGGACAGTCGGCAACGCATCTACGTTTTGGTTAGTCTGACCAATCAGGATGGTATTCTGTCCCTCCGTCATTTTCCGGTAGTACTGCCAGCGCACAGCATCTTGGGCGTCGGACGTGAAGTACTCCGGTGCATTGTAGTCAGCAGATCCGAGCTCGCCGAACCACCGCGTGCCGAGCGCATCGAGGACAAAGTCTCCGACGTCCAGGTCGTTGTGCGTCTGGTGGAAGCGCAGCGTGCTGGCTTTGATGCCGACGTAGAGCGCGTTGTTGTCCGTCCAGGAGCTCCGCATCGAAGCCCATTGATCCGTGCCCGAACTGAAGAAGTGGTCGAGAGGTTTGCCGTCCCAGAACGCGCCCTTGATCGAGGGGTTGTACCAGAACATGGACCACGGCTCAGCGGCGTCGGCCATATCCCGTTGGAACAGCGCATACTGCGGCTCGTTGTAGTGATCCGCGTACAGGAACATCGAGTTGGCGGTGGTGGAGAACTTATTGGGCCCGTGGTCTCCGTAGTTGAAGAGGGATGTCGCCCCAGTGACGTACATGTGGAAATCGCCCGTCCTGGAGAAGTCCGTGTTGGTATCCAGCAGGCCATAGTCAGATCCAGTAGCGCTGATGAGAGACGAGGCCATCTCGGCGTGAGCTGTCGATGGATCAACAACGTGCGAATCAGCAACAAAACGAACGCACCCGTAGTACCGAAGTACCAGTAGTTTGCGGTCTCGGCCCAGGTCCCATCTGGCGAAACGGCCTTGGCACAATTTCCCACTGCGTTCGGGACGGTCTTGGCCAGCAGTTGTTCTGGAACACCGCTGCCATCGTCTCCGAGGATAGCCAACGACGCAAGGGTCAGGCCGCCATTGCACACGCAGTTCCAGTTGCCGGTGATGTTGTTGGCCCACCAGCCAGAGCCGGTCGTGAACTGTGACAGACCAGGCTGGAGCCCGTACTTTAGGAGCGTGAAGATCATCTTGTTTTTCTGGTCCTGCGACCACATGTCGTACAGCCAGTCGTAGGCGATGGCGTACGCCGCGGACATCTCAGCGGTGTCGAGGAAGTGCGCAGCGTTCCATTTGTCGGTGTCTGGGCCGAAAGGAGTCGTGCCGTTACCAGCTGCGTTCTAAAACCAGTCAAGATCGAAACATCATATACCATTGGAGAGGACTGCACACACCTGAATCTCCTCCCACGTCCTGTCCACCCACGCAGTATCATTCGTCATGCGGTAGGCATACGCGAACGCCTTGATGCGTTCCTTGACGGAGCGCGAGTTGTCTAGAATCCCACTGGAGCCGTCCATGAAGTACACAACGGGCGGCGCCGCCCTCCACTGCGTCGCGTTCCCGAAGATCGTGGCGTTCCAGCCCTTGAGATACGGGTCGTTCGCGATGAGCTCGGGGAGGGCGGCCCATCTGTACGCGGGCGCGATGAGGCGCGGTCGGTCAGGCCGCACAGTCGTCACGTCCGGCGAGCTCGGGGAGAAGGGGTCCTTCGGCCACGAGTTGGTCGAGCTTGTGGACGGGACGAACGTCGGGGAGCTGAAGGCGGAGCTGTCGGTCGTGGAGGGGTAGATCGGCATCATGAACTCGCTGTTCGTGGCCGTGGCGAAGCGGCCCAGAGCGAGCTTGGCGCTGACGGCAGAAGAGGCGGATGCATGCGCGGACGCGGCTGAGCCGGTGGCTTGGCTTCCTGACCCTGATGCGGAAGATGAGGAGGATGAAGAGGATGAATGGTGGCGCGAGCCGACGACGCCTCCGACTACGGCAGCGACGATGACGACGACTGCGACTGGTATGCCGATCTAGCATTAGGTTTGAGAGAAAGGTTATGGGGGGAGAAGAATGACGCACCTTGACCCAGTTGCTTATTCCCTTCTTTGCTGGAGACGAAATGTATCCCGTAGATCCATTATGCGCCGGGTCGGAGTACATGGGCTGTTGCTGCCCTTGGATGCTCTGATACTGCGTGGCCATGCGCGGGGCAGAAGTAGCAGAACGAGGGGAGGAGGAAGATGAGGAGGAGATCGAGGGAGTATGTACTAATTTTAACTGAAAACGGCTTCTTTTCCCCGCCACACGCCTTGACCATGCCTAGACAAACCATGACATAAGCTGACGTTGCCTTGGCCCTTGGCGGGCTGCTCAAACGATCTGTCCGAGTCGTCCGGCATTCCCGTCGATGAAGGTGCAGAGTGAGCAGTCTCCTCGATCTCGTTGCACTCCGGATATGCAACTGCCCAGAACTCAGTAAGCGGGGCGCTGATCGCGTGTCTCTCGTTGCCGATACTCTCTAATTCCGTCAAATGGCCGTGCTTCTTAGTCCTTACTGACCTCTTGAATCCTTCAACTGTGACGACTTGAAGATATCTCGATGTCGCTGCAAGCTCTCAATGCTAACCTTTCTTGGCAATTTGCTCGATGGATGATCGGCTGCTGCTCACTATACCTTGCGATTCTCCATCAGCTGTTTCTTCCTTCTACGCGAAGCTCCCACTGCTGCAATGCACCTGACGATCTTATCTTCGCGCTCGATGAGATCCTCTCCTCAAGGCGTTACGCTTGTGGCTCTGCGTCCTTTCTTCGTCTACTTTGACGGACACTGGGCTCTCAGCGCTCCAGCGCCAACTCTGCAGACTGCGAGCAACATCGCGAGAGGGCTATATTGCGGTTGCCTCGAATTCCCCCAGCTTGCGATCTCTCATTAGGCTTACTAGTCGACAGAAGGCGAGTCAGGGCCGCATGTCGTGGCACACCCCACCCCTGGTTATATGCAGCATGATTTGGCAGGTAAGCTCAGACATGTTACACGATACATCTACAACGGGCAAAACCTCTATTTTCTGGATCAGCGCCGAGTGGTGTGAGGTCGAGCTGTATCATACCGGGCAGCACAGAACGTCAGTGGGCTGATTGGTGTGCGGGCCACATCCAACGGTGCCGGTGGGACACGCAGACCCAGCGGGGACAGAGACCTGGCAAGCGCTCTCAGCTCGGATTCCGTATGCAGTCAAGCACCAAGGGATTACGCACACAGCCAGCCTGAGCGGCGGCGGAGGCCACGAGGGCGGCGACGACGGCGAGTACTTTGAATTGCATCTGGGTGAAGGCGATGGGATGTATGTTTTTCGAGACTGTACACCAGATTTTATATTATACCCACTCGTTGCCGACAATGACAGAAATCTTGGGCGCGATTAGATACGTACTTTCATCTCAAAAAAGTATACATCGTACGCCCTTGATCGAGGGTTAATAATACCCTAGGCTGGGGGTCAATTTCTTTGTACCCGGACTACGTCTGCGCCGACAAAAGTGGACGGTGTTTGAAACCAGTTTGGGGCTGATACTCGGGGCTCGATATTACGGTAATCCTGTAGGCGCGGGTCATCATACTCAGCCGAAACTCTGACAGACGGCGGGAGCGGCGCCAGTACGTTACGGTGCTGAAATCAATTCAAAAGCGGCACATCCGATAGATTCGAGGTAGATAGCAAAAATACATGGGCGAACAGAGAGCATTGAAGCAAGCGAGCGATACCGGATGGCGGTTCCTACCTAGTACTTAGTTCACTTGTTCTTCCCCGAAGCTGATTTGACAGCGACGTTGTGCGCTAGGGTGAGCTGCCCGGCGATGTCCTTGCCCAGGCGCCACACGATAAACGCGGGGACGACGATCCACAACCTGACGCAGAGCTCAGGGCACCGGGACGCGTGCGAATGGGGCCGAGAGGACTCACCCGTTGGGGATGATCCAAAGCAGGATCAGGTCGTTGATGGAGTTGTGCCCGACGGCGCAGTAGTTGCAATAGTACTCCTGGGCCCAGTAGAGCACGGTCTTCGAGAGCGTCATGGTCGCGGCAGCGAAGCCGATCATGGGGGCCGGCGGCCAGCCGGCGACGTGCGCGGTGTAGAGGTAAACCACATTCATGATGGTTTCGATCACGTTAAGAAGTGCTGGGTGACAGACGTTGGAAGTGTGCACGCGAGCGCGTGGTTGCGGACTCACTTTGGGCATTGGTGAACCCATCCCCGCGTTCCAGGGCAGCCACGCCGTAGACCTACGAGATGCTGAGTGGGAGTTGCCGAGCAACGCACGCGACTCGAGTCTTACGAGGTCGACCTGCTCGAAGGTGAGGGTTGAAGCTCGGGTAGAAGAGGTCAGCTCACGTTTTGATACAGCGCATAAGGCTTCCAAATCCAGTGTAAATCACCTCCCTATTGACGTTGAAGCAGGGTTTTCCATAATCAGCTAGTAGATGACGCGTACGATCATCGACCGGGGCCTATGCTGGAAGGTTAGCGTCGAATAGGATGCGTTTTGACGCGTGCCTCATGAAACAGTAACCTATGTCCCACGCGACAACCTGCAGAGACACGCATGAATGAACGTTCCGGACGCTACGCAGCACTAGCGCGTACAGGAGCGGTGACGAGAAACCAGAGGGACACCCAGCTGTGGGTCTTGACTGCCATGGGAGTGCGGAGGGAAGGTGGGTCGACCCTTTCGTTACGGATGTCATGTGGAGACGCCTGTTGCGAGAAGGATGATGATGATGATGGAGGTCCGATCACTGGCAAGTCACCCGCTGCCAAACGCATCTTCCACCGACGCGACTCGCGTCCGTCGACTTCGAACGTCGCACCTTCTTGCTTCCGAATGCGCGCGGACTCGGACTTGGACTCGGTGCTTCGCACCTGTTCCGATCGACCTGGAGCATCATTAACGTGGCCTTTCGAACCCGTAGCTCTTGCGTTGCGTGGGGCGCGGCCTGGTTTCTCGATGCGTGCGAGGTAGTCTGCTGAGAGGATGGGCAAGCCGCTGTGCATAGCCATACTGAATCGAGGAGGAGGAAGGAGTTTGAGAGCGAAGCTTTTCGAGCACCTTAGAGGCACACCCCCTTTGGCAAGGACGCATGAGGCTTGCACGCGTGGCCAGGGCATACCGTTCCCTTTGTCTGTGTCCCCTTGTCTCAATCTGAACAAAGACACAGACATGGGAACGGTTGCCCGCAGGCCTCGGCGCGGGGGAGCCCGGGGCGCTGATTACACCGACATCATACGCTATATGCATGTCATCGGGGAGTCGGAGGGACCGAGGCTGCACACTTTGAACAGCGGCGTCAGAAGAAGGCTGCCATGCGATAGTTTGTGTGCATGCAGCCTAGCCGAGTTTTTGGGCGCTAGCCAAGCACACAACGTAGCCGACATGTACAGTAGTTGCTTTCGATGTTTTCCGCCGCACGGTTGGTGACGCTTACTGTTGTTAGAGCCGGTGTGCGTCTGGTGCTGGCGATGTACAACCGATGCTGCTTCTGATACTGTATGTGTGCAGAGGTGCTCGAGATATGTACTGTTCCCACAAGTTACAACGCAAAACCTCAAGTCCAGGAAGATCATCTCGCTTATAACGGTGGCGCAGGGGTATAATCTCGGCATTGGGCCAAGGTGGCTATGGACACATTTTCGACTGCAGCTTTCGGTGAGCGCTTGAAGGGGAGTAAAGCATCGGATTTGTTGAGCTTTTTTAGACCAATAGCACTCAAACGAGGCAGTATACAGACCGAGTTTCTTGAATATCTGCAAAGTTGAACACGAGTGGCTACCGCCGGTCCCAAAGTCGCCGGTTTGCAACCGATCCGCGTGCACGCTGATCATGCCACCCGACGAAGCCTGACGATCGTCTTTTGATGCTGATTTCTTGTCATCTCCGTCCAGAGTCCGCTTCAAGCCTTCAACTCCTAAATCCGATTCTGCAACTAGATTTCTTGGGGCGGCCTGGCTACGCTGTGAGGATATCCTCAGGCTCATGGAGAGTACAATCAGATCCCGTGCAAGGGGGGCCTTTTGCAAACACCCGGATGACCTGGTGGGGCGTGTCAATGGAGTATCGGAATCCTTATCTATGTGCGGTGGGGGAAGCGCTCAGATCTCGCTCAGTGCCGTTCCTGGAAAGCACGGCTCAAGTATTTAAGGTCTCGTCGGCAAACCACAGCAGGTGATCGCTCTTCTATCTGCGAACCCCCGGTCCCCATGCGCCTACCGTCCCTGCTCGTCGTCTTCGCCGCTGCCGGCTCCGTCCTTGCTGCGCCCAAGCAAGCTTCTGTCGGTTTTCTCTGCCCTGTGACGGATTCTATGAGCTAAACAACGATGTGCCTGTAGCCGGATGGGGTCCTGGTGCGCTGAGCGGTCTCTTTTGGTGAACATGTTCTCATTTCTGGTCTCTAGGTCGACGATGCTCCTCCTTGGAAGCGAGCCACACCCACCGCCGCTGTATGTATGCTCTGTCGCAAGTCGGATCATGCCTGATGATGGTTGGCAGGACCCACCTCCTTGGAAGCGCGCTACCGATGTCGTAGTAGGCGTGCGTCGTCTCTGTGGTATCCATCCGACGCAGCCAACTCACAGATCGCAGGATGCTCCTCCCTGGAAGCGTAGCCAAGCGACCGTGGCCGTAAGTGCTGCCGAGTGTGCCCCAGCTTATCTCTGAATCCAGACAGGACGCGCCCCCTTGGAAGCGTGTGCAGCCAACTGTGAGCTCCAGATGCACTCGATGTCTGATCCGCTGACGTTGTTTCCCCCAAGGATGCTTGAAGACTGGGACGGGTGAGTTTGTGGAGAGCCTCCGAAGCGGGCGTTATCTAATTGCAAGGCCAGCGTGCACGATGATACTCGAAGTCGCGTGTACGAGGTGAAAGCAGCTCTTCGAGGGACGTACAAGCATTTACTCACCTTCCATGCAGCGTAGATTCCTTAGTTATAGCTATCTATACCGATGAACATAATGCGTCTCCTCCTGCAACTGTTTTTGCAGCCGAAGGTCCTGAATGTGGCGACCACGACAGGCGAGTCTGATATGCTTTGAAAGCCAATCGGGAAGGCACCGCTCTTTTTCTGGGACGCCGCATATTCGCTTGGATGTCTATTTGAAGTCTATTTACACGGAGAACCACCAGAGATTCGAACGGGCTTCGCATGACGTTGACAGACGTCGAAGACACGTCTAATTGCACACATACCGGATTCAAATGCAGGCGCGTCCCCTTCAGCTGCTCCCTGCTTCCTCCTGCTTCCTGCCTTCCCTCCCTCCCTCTCCTTATGCACCCATGCCGGTGCAACATTTCAGTCAGTCCGTCTCGCGTACGCACGCAGCAGCGTCCTGAATGTCCCCGTCCAGCGCTCGCCAAATTCAAACCAGAACTGACGGAGGATGAGCGCACCGACGCGTACCGCACCGTGTTCTCCCTGCTTGTCGCGGGCCTCGCCATCCCGGGCTTCAATGCGTTCAAGGTTGGCCCGCCGCTGAGCCCGCGCGGGGCGCGTGGATATGAATTCGGTCCGTGACCCGGTCGGGACCGGCGCCAGCCTTTCTGATCCATCGACAGCCATTACGGTCGAGTTCCAGGATCTGAAATCGTTCACGTATGTGCCGTCGCCGGTGTATCGCCCCTTGTTGACCCCGATGCAGTGAATACATCCCGCACTCTCACCATCGCACCGTTGCCGACTTCATCAACAACTTTTCTGAGGGTGAGATCTTCTGTCAGTCAGCGATCGTCCGAGGAAGGCTGACTGTGAGGGAAGGCACACCGCTCTCGTACCAGATCGACACCACAAGACTCGCCAAACTGTAGAACCGCCTCGTTATCTTTCCCCTTGTTTTGCGCTCCCAACCATCTGTACCATCCCCACGCATTGCTATCGTTATCATCACCTTGATTCTTTCTTTCTGTGTGAAGCGCTATTTCCATGATACATGGTACTGGATTCATACGCCGTCCTTGCATTACAGCAATCCAATGTGTATATCATCCTCGTTTTCAACGATCTGAGCACCGTGAAATGGGTCGGTGTTGTCCAGCATGTAACCGTCTTGCAGAGACCCTGCCTCGACAGCAGGACCCGGGACGATACACAGGTCACACATCGCGGGGTATCTCTCCTGCGAGCGCGAGCTCTCTGCGGCACCTCTGGCACGCACATTCGAAATACCAGTGGGCGCGGAGCTGCTCCCGTCTCTCCGACACGCTGTCCTTGAGATCGACATAGTTCGTGCACAGTTCCTCGTCCTTCTCGATGTCCCTCGTGGTGTAGAAGTGCAGCGCCCGCCCTTCTCTCCGCTTGCGCACATTCGGTTCGCAATCTGCCATACAGAATAAGGAGAGAGGAGCGAGGAACAGCGAAGGCGAGGACATACCGTGGTTGAAGAACGAAGCCGATACGTACATGCACCAGCCGAACATCTCGCTATCGCCCGTCTCGTTCATCTCGAACAGCCCGAAGACGTTCCCCGGATCCCGCGCGAGAACGGCGCGCACCGCGGCCGGGGTCTCGACGTAGGGCTTCAGGCACTCGAGAACTGGCGAGGAGCACACGGCTTGGCGGATGAATGCGAATATGCGGACGTGCGACGGCAGAGCGTGCGGCTTGCTTCGGTAATAGGGAAGCTCGTTGTCCTGAAGCTCCAGCAGATCAGGCCAGTTGTTGAGAGGCGTCCCAGAGGAGTTTTCATCGTCAGTATGTCGGCGAATAAGGGCGGATAGAACGAAGCGGACTGTTTCCAGCTCTAGTTCTTCCAAAGGCAGGCGAACGCTTGTCGGACCCTGGGCCGCGTTTTCCCAGGCAGAATCGATAGAAGTCTGCGAGATCCCAGGAGAGTTCTCCGCAAGGGCGGAATGTGCTGATGCGGTGGCGCCCCGTTTCCCGTCAGCCTTCGATAATTTGTCCACCGCGGCGTTGACAGTCAAGGTCATCGGCCCGCCGCTCCATTCTTGACGACAGGTAGAGCTGCAGAACCAGACACCTGCCCCCGGCACTTCGTTTCTAATGTTCCAAGCATTCCGGCGGACATCGAAGGAGTACGCGAAACACTGCGCACAGACTTCTTTGCGAAACTCGCGATAGATGACCGATCCATACGGGCCAGGGCACGTGTGTATCAGGGTTCCAGCGGGGATGGCGCTGTTGGCGAAGACGCCTCTACCCCCGTACCAAGTCGATTTTCGTGTGAAGAGATCGGAGGCCATTCGCTATCGATATCCCAAGATTCATCTTGGAGAGAAGGAGATGATCACGAATCACGTGTGATCAGGCCAAACAAGGCCAAGCGCGCCAATTGAGTCCCATTTTGTTTCCTACCTCGCACGACGGGGCTGAACGCATCGTCGCACGCGACGCTAGATGGCGAAGCGCGTGGAGTCTTCGGAAGACGGCGATATGAACTCTAGTCCTGAACCCGCCCGTGTTAAAGGCGGCAAGACGCGTCCTGGTGGCAAAGGAAAGGCGCGCGACGAAGAGACCTCTCCGCGTGGAGCCAAACGAGCACGCGTCAATGACGCAGGGGACTCTGCTCATAGAGAAGATGAGGATGAGGATGATGGAGAAGTGGAACCGAGTGAGGGTGCGGATGAGGAGCAAGCAGGAGACGACGACGACGACGAAGCTCCCCCATCTCGTGTGCGCGTCAAAACACTCCCTCGCGACGTCGATGGGTCGGTGCTCTTTTTTCCGGGTATAAAGTCTATGACTCGTCTAAATGGATCTTCCAGGTATATCCCGGGCTCCATCGTCCGCATCAACCTGCGCAACTTCGTCACCTACGACGCGGTGGAGTTCTGCCCTGGGCCCTATCTTAACATGATTCTGGGACCAAACGGAACGGGAAAATCGTCTATCGCCTGCGCGATCTGTCTCGGCCTGAACTGGTCGCCTGCGATCCTGGGCCGCGCCAACGACCTGAACGAATTCGTTAAGATCAACACCCAAGAAGGGCACATCGAGATCGAGCTCAAGGGGCCTGCGGGGGAGCCGAACCTCGTGATCCGCCGCAATATCACCTCTCGTGCGAAGAGCTCGACGTTCACCCTGAACGGCAAGGCGGCGACGGGCGGCGAGGTCAGCGCGAAGGTAGCCAAGCTTAATGTGCAGGTCGGCAACCTGTGTTCGTTCCTGCCGCAGGACAAAGTCAGCTCGTTTGCGGCCATGTCACCTGTCGAGCTGCTGAGGGAGACGGAGAATGCGGCCGGCGACGAGAGACTCAAGAGTTGGCATGATACTCTCAACGACGCAGGGAAGGAACTAAAGCTTGTCTCCACCGTTCGTCGTCGCCGCGCATCAGATCTGGGCGCACTGACTGGTTCCGACAGACTATTACTGAAGAAACGACGACCATGGAGACCATGAAGACTCGTAACGAGGGCATACAACGTGACGTCCAGCGGTACCGTGAACGAAAGAAGATTGAACACGAGGTAGATACGATCCAGCAGGTTCCTGTGGCGCAGGCTTACCATTCCAGATCACCCTGCTGCGCGTGCTCATCCCCATTCAAGAGTACCGCGAGGCACGCGAGCTGTACGGGACCCTAAAAGACAAGCAGCGGGCCCAGCACGCCAAAGTCTCCAAGTTGAAGGAAAAGAACGCTCCAGCGCATGCGTATCTCAGGTTGGTGCTCAGCTCTGCCTGTGACGACGCTGACTCTTTTCCCAAGGAAACTGGAGAAACAAGTGGAAGAGCTGTATCAAGACCGTGATTCTTCCAAGAAGGTTCTCAAACAGATACTCGATAAGAGCGAGAAGAGCACCAGGAAGGCTCTGCAACTTGTCAGCTTTTCTTCCACCGGGATTCTTCTGAGCTGAACCAATTGGCACGCAGGAATCCGAGCACGACGATATCCAGAACAAGATTGATAATCTGAAGAAGAACGAAAAGAGCCGGGTGACTCAGATGAAAGCCTTGGAGGACAAGATCCAGAAGCTGACTGCCGAGCTGGAAAAGGATGTCAGTAGCATTGGGCTGTTTCGCCCACTCCACCCGCGCTGACGGCCCGTTCGCTCTAGGTGAAGGGCGATGTCGAAGCCGTTGTCATGGAGGAGAAGAACCAAGCCAAGGCTGAATTCGCGCGAAGCCCATACCACTCGGAGCTGGACCAGGTCAACCGCCGGTCCGGGGCGCTACAGCAAAAACGACAAGCGAATGAACATCGCAAGAACCAAGCATACACCCGGTGATTGTCATTCGGTCTGCTCCCTTTGCTTGTTGCACTCACACGCCGTCAGCCAGCGGGAACTTGCCTCCACGGACGGCCAGAAGCTCGCTGCATTCGAGGCATGGGACAAGAACTCTGCGATGGCCGTCGTTTGGCTCCGGCAGAACCGGGACAAGTTCCAGATGCAGGTTTTCGAGCCCGCGGCGCTCAGTGTGACTGTGCGTGATGCGAGGTTTGCGTCAATCGTTGAGAATGCGCTCGGGTCGCAAGCACTCAAGGTGGGTTCTCGGCTTACCTCGCCGCGCTGTTCCAGCCATACTCACCCCACATAGACCTTCGTGTGCCAATGCCAAGAGGATAGCGACACCCTCAACAAGTTCATCAACGACGATAAGGTGCTTGGCCCCCGAGTTCGTATCTCGGTCTGGTACGGCAGCAGGCAGGGCACAGGGCCTATCACGCCGGAATCCGTCAGCCCCCAGCCCCTGAATCCGGAAGAATTGAAGCGATTCGGATTCAGTGGATATGCCAGTGACTTCATCGAATGTCCGGCAGGCATGGAGTTCTATCTCTACAGCGCAGTCAACCTGCATCGAGCGGTGATTTCCCACAGTGCTGCCTGATGTCGATCGATGCTAATAGGCTTTCGTGTAGCCGGTGACTCTGCAGCCGCTTCCGCCGAACAGCATCCAGACGATCATAGACACGCTCGGTCAGGATGGCCGCGCCAGATTCTATGAGGGAAGCACCGTGCATCACATCTCACGGTCTAAATATGGTCGAAGGGCGCTGGGGACGTCGTCCAGCACGATTGGACCCGCTAAGATGTTCGGCAGAGTGCAAGGTCTGGGTGTTCTAGACGCTGGATGATGACTAAAGCTGAATGCGATGCAGTGAATCCGGCCGACAAACAGCGTGTTGACGAAGCAATTCAGCGCTGCCTCGAGGAGGAGAGCCAGCTGGAGCGGGAATACAACGAGCTGAAAGATGAGCGGGGAAGATTGTCGGCGCTGCAGAGGGATTATAAGGAGAAGCAGGATGCCTTCGATGTCCGGCTCAAAAAGATCGTAGATCAGCTGAAGCAGAGGCTCAAGACGGATCGAGAGAAGAGTAAGCCGTGTCGCGTTGTTTCAGGGGTTCATCGACTCACGGTATGTGTTGTTGCTACCAGAGAACGCACAGCAAAAGCTGGCGCTGCTGACGAGCAAGGGGGATTCTGTCAAAGAGGGTAAGGAGCTGCGCGGCCAGTTGGTCAAGAATGCCACGAAGCGCGTCGACTTGGTCACTGAGGTTATCGTGAGTTCCTGCCGTCGATCCATTTAAATCCAGGGAGGGTGCTGACTTGGATGGACCAGAAAATCTCTCACGAGATTGTCAAGGAGCAAACACGCGCCACTTGCATCGCACTCGAGTATTACCAGGTTCTAGCCAAGAAGAATGCGCTGCAGGAACTCTGTGATCGGAAAGACGCCAAGTATAACGAGGCCATGGAGGTGTTCCGCAAAGGTGCGGTCCTTTTTGGTGTTCTGGCTCGTGATCTGAATCTGTCATCACGCTAGTGGACGCCGATTTCTTGCGCATCAAGAAAGAGGCTGCCGATCTCTTCAAGAAGACGACGGAGCTGCTGCAAGAGATGCCCGATGAAGTGCGGGACGAATACCAGGAGATCGCGGACGCCCGGGACGAATGGGAGAATCAGATCACCCAGGCTAAGCAGCGCGGCCAGGATCCCCCTGAGCCTGGGCCAAGCGTCGACCTGCGCACTGTGTTTGACCTGCAGGGGGAGCTCGAGAAGCAGCAATCGCTGCTTCAGGCTAACACCAATACGAATCCGGGTCTGGTCGAGCAGTACGAGAAGCGGAAACGGGATGTACGTTCGGGCTTCGTATATGCGATCGCGGCCAGGGATTTGATATCTTTTTCCATCGCAGATTGAATCCCTCGAACGAAGCATCGAGCAGAGACAGCGCCAGGCCACCAAGATCGAGAAGCAGATCAAGAATGCGAGAGACAATTGGGAGCCTGAGCTACGTGCGCTGGTGGCCAGCATCGGCAAGAAGTTTTCGGCGGCTTTCGATCGTAAGTTGTGTTGCCCCCGCTGTCGTTTAGTGGGATGAATGACCGAATGCTGGTTAGGGATCGGTTGTGCTGGGGAGATCAAGATACGTGAAGCCGATGCGTTCGATCAGTGGGCCATCGACATCCTCGTCAAGTTCAGGGACACGGAGAAGCTGCAGCTCCTGACAGCCCAGCGACAGTCCGGTGGCGTGCGTTGTTGTTCCTCTTCATTCGCAGATTGCATGTTCCGCTGACACGCTGCTGCAATCTGCCAGGAACGCGCTTTGACGACAATCCTGTATCTGATGAGTCTCACGGAGGAAGCCCGTGCGCCGTTTTCGCTCGTGGACGAGATCAACCAGGTACGTCTTACCGCGCGGATGGCCAGGAGGGAGTTCTGACGTCAGTAGGGAATGGACCACATCGCCGAGCGCATGGTGCACAACTCGATGGTCGAGGTGACGTGCAAGGAGGAGAGCGCGCAATACTTCCTGATCACGCCGAAATTGCTCCCGGACCTCGAGTACCACGAGCGCATGCGTGTGCTGTGCGTCAATAATGGGGAGTGGCTGCCCGAGGAGGCGGGGTTGGGCAATATGATGGGCATGATCGATGGGTATGTTGCGAAGAATCCTGGGGCGGAGAAGGGGAAGAGACGGGGGTAGTTGTTTGTGTTATGTTATGTTATTTCAGATTTAGTGCATAGGCATATGACTCTCCTAGTTTTACTTACAATTGAACCTATGTTGGGTACATGCAGACTGTTAATGCCAAAATAGACCGCACTTCCCTGCCCGGTGACGTTAGGATGTTTTCGTGATAGCCAGTGTTGCCTTGTGCACCCCAGATTACTGCCATAATGTCGACTACGCATCCCAGCACACATGGGCTTGGCTTACACCCCATTTGTCGAGTCGGAGCTATCACCTCCGGTAACGTCACACCGACAATCGTGGCTGCGATGAGTGCTAGTCTTTCTATCCCGAAGGTCTAGTTCTGGATCAACTAAAGATCAGAGTAGGATGACCTAAACAGAGGCCCGATTGCAGAATCGACGACCCGATCGAGCTTCGAGCTTCAAGCTCGGTTCGATGGCCAGCTGGAGAAGCACTGGGCCAGGGAGCCGACGGATGTATTAAGACGCGTTACGGGATTCGAAATCGTACTTACTTACGTTTTAGTTGAGTACTGACGATACATATCTATGATTTTGAATCCAAACACGATCTTATCGATGGGACCACGTGCTGGAGTGCACGTGAGCGGTGTTCAACTCGACTATATGCATGCCATGATGAATTTAGAAAAGGACAGAAAATGCAATCACGAGGTCCTCGTCTCGTCGATACACCCGCTTTTCGATTTACTATCGAAATGATGGATTTCTCTCTGTGTTACATACATGACGGCCGAAGAAGATGAGACCGTTTTAATAGAGCGGCTTGGTAAATCACGACGCATCGAAGCGGAAGGCGCGATTGTCCAGTCTCTCTCTTTTTTCTCAGGGCGATCTGGTCACCCGGTCACCCGGTCAGCGAGCCGTCACTGTCGCGACCGAACCAGAGCACGAATCATCACTTTAATGACAGTAGAAGCACTTCTTGGGTGTTCATCAGAGCAGCTGGTGCAGGAAAGCACGCAAGCGGTGCATTCAGATGAGGGTTTAAGCGGGTGACACCTTTCGATTACAAGTGGTATGTATTGCGAAGCGCTGCTCACTCACTGTGAATGACGAAGATGCTGGAAATCTCATCGATGTAGCCACGTGCGGATGAGGGGGCTGATCGCGACTGGGACACGTGAGCTGTGTTCAACTTGGCTGAACGTGATTCGGAACCACCTGCCAGCGTTCTCGGGATGCGCGCGAAGGACCCTGATCAGTCCTGCGTTTCCCAGCCCCGGTCTCCGTCTATTTTCAGCAGGATGCTCGGGACAGGACCGGGCCGAAGAAGAGGGTGTCGAAGACACAGAAGTGCTTAAACCTGCGTCCGACGCCACAGCTCGCTTAACCGCCCACCCCGATGTCAACGAGCGATCGCGGTACCGCAATAGTCACTGGCGCCGGTACGCATCTCCTCCGTCCCGCTCTCCCCCAGCAGCCCGTCTCTGATACATGCATCTGCGATGGCCCCGCAGCCCAGGGTATCGGACGCGAGATCGCGCTGCGCCTGGCCCGCGACGGATTCGCCGTGGCCGTGAACGACGTCCCTGCGAAGGCGGACAAGCTCGCGCGCGTCGTCGAGGAGATCCGGGCGACCGGCCGCCCGGCGTCCGCGTACGCGGCGGATGTGTCGGCGGACGCAGAGGTGAAGGCAATGGTCGAGCAGGTCGTGCAGGAATACGGGGGACTCGATGTGGTGCGTGCGACCGTTGTGTGCTTCGGTGCAGAGATGATCAACTGAGGCTCGTGCTTAGATGGTGGCGAACGCGGGCATCTGTAAAGCGATCCTGTTCTCTCAAGGTTCGCGTTATGTTTCTGATCTGGGTCCGTCAGTTGCTTGAGCACTCATTTCTCGACAGTAACTGTCGAGGAGTGGGACACGATCATGGCAGTCAATGCGCGAGGCGCATTTCTGTGCTACAAGTACGCAGGGCTACAGATGGTCCAGCAGGGACGGGGCGGACGAATCATAGGCGCTTGTTCGGTCGCCGGCAAGAGAGGTCAGTCGGATTTTTGACAGATTCAAACTTCAGAGCAATCTATGCTCATTGGAATGGCAGCCGGTTCTAGCTTAATGGGGCCTTACTCAGCGTCCAAGTTCGCCATACGCGGGCTGACGCAGGCTGCTGGTATGTTTTGTGGATCAAAGGCCATTGGCCTCTCTCAATCATGATCAGCTCTAGAATTTGGGGCTCACGGGATCACCGTTAATACCTACGCCCCAGGAGCTGTTGACACGGAGATGAGTAAGTTTGGACACCCGACATTTCGTTCGATTTGATCAATTCTTGAAGTGGCTGCCGTCAACGCGTCCAGTGCGCAGGTTATGGGGACCAGCTATTCGGAGAGAGTAGGTCTATATCCGGTTAAGACGATCTCATACCTATTTTATCGATCTATCAAGGTGAAGAATAGTGGAGCATTGGCTCAATATGGGTATCTGACTTCCATCCTCCCTGTTCCAAACAAAGCGCGCTCACGGGTTCTGCGCAGAGTTCCGAAAGACATTGCAGATCTTGTGTCGTTTCTTGCCTCGAAAGAGTCGGGCTTCATCACAGGCCAGAGCGTCAGAACTGTTTATTCAGCCGGTACGCTCGCTCTGATTGCTCTGTCAGATTTCCATCAACGGAGGCGTCTTCTTCGATTGAACAACAGCAACTTCTACGGTTATGAAATCGCAATCTATATACATAAGTACTTACGGGTACATTTATACAACATATGTGTGACTTCGTCTGATCAGATTTCGACGACGGAGTGGTGTCACATGCTCTCGACGAAAGCTCGCGCCTCCACAACCGCACCGCACAGGCCCCCCGCGAGGACGGGGAAGTCGGCAGCAGACGCGATGAGCTTGAAGCCCTGGGCGATGCGGCCCTTGATCATCTCCTCGCCCAGCGCCAGACCCAGCATCGGGATGTCGTGTTTCTTGGCCATGGCGGACGCGTGCTCCATGATCTTGACCCATTCGGGCTCTGTGGCCATCGGGAGCGCAGGCGAGAGGCCGAGCTCCATGCGCATGTCAGCGACTGGGTTCGCAGATGATTAACACCAAGACAGTATCGATCTGGCTGCTGCGCCCCACGCACCTCCGACCATGAAGCAGGGGACCTGCTCCATGCTAGCGATCGCGTCCAGGTTCTCGAAACCAAGACGCGTCTCGATCTGCGGGATGATGGCCACATGCTTATTCGCGAGCGTGAAGATCGAGTCGCCTGCCGGCGTGGTGTCTGTGACGCCGGGGATCTGCACACCCGCGATATGATCATCAGCCAGGGTTGGATAGGGATAGCGGATAGCGCGTGTGCGCGCTGCAGGGAAGTAGCACTTACGAAGGAGAAGGGGGGGAACGATCTGTGTCCCACAGGCCTGCGGAGGGGTGCATCGATATGGAGACTCTCTATGCCCCGTGTACCACGGACGGGGTTCAATGATGCACTCACGGGAACCGACATGCGTCCACCGCAGCCTGCATCTCCTCCACCGTCTCGAGGTGGGGCAGGATGACTCCGCCCGCGCCGGCGTCCAGGCACCATGCCTGCACAGTCCGGAACCGAAGTTCAGTCATGATGGGAGCGATGATGAGCGCGTGGGCCGCACCATGTAATCAAAAGCCTTCTTGTTCGGTACACGGACGATGGGCACCATGCTGCCCCCGCTTTCCTGGTTGATGATCTGGATGCACTCTATGAGTAGGGTGGGCGACCACGCGACGTGCTCGGTGTCCTGCCAGCGCGTCAATCATCCGGTCCAAAACAGCACACAGAGCGTCGGCCTCACAATCCAGCACCAGTCCGCGCCGCATGCGGCGACGGTCTTGGCGATGTGCACGCTCGGATAGCTCAGGACGGAGCCCACGGCGATCTTGCCGCTCTTGAGGATCCCCGTGAGGTTCGCAGGCTGCTGCAGCGTCGGGGCCCTGAACTGAGCTCGCTCGGTCGTGGAGAGAAGTGCTGCTGCGCTCATGGCTGGGATCAGGTATAGGCACGAAGCACCCACTCAATACATGCGCTTTTGTACAGAGCCAGTTTGACAGGCACTAGAAGCAATGGGCCACTTGCGAATGCTTAGATTAGATCAAGAGTGCTACTATCGGGACTAAAGATCTCCGGTTTCCTTCTAGAGCACGTGAGGGACGCGTTTCTGGAAGGTCGGTGAGATAGATGGGAGACTCTCTCGCGCATTCGAAGCTAGAGAACGTCCGCACTCCCCGGCACCGCCGCCAAAAGCCTCCTTGCACTCGTTCCCTGGCACTATTCGACAGTTCCGGCCCCTCAAATCAGCCTTCCAGGTGTACATTTTTGGATCGATTTCCCTGTAGCACACGAGCGCACCCCACGGGGGCGGGCCGTTTTAAATCCTTGCATCCCGATCTGGACATGATTGTAGGAGATAAGATAAGATAATGCGGTACTCCGTCGGCTCATCCTTGGCTCTTTGCTCAGGTCGGCCGAAGTCATCAGAACGTTTTCGCGGGCACATATGTGACTAGGACTGCACAAATGCAAGGGTCCGGAATCTGACAGCCAAGAAGCCTAAGGTGCCCTTTCACATGTGCTTGATACATTACACGTCTTCGCCGGGTAAAGGGGTGGAGCCTTCTCGACGGGGACGAGTGGCACTCTGGGCTCGTCGGGGTTCCCCTTCTGGGTGGCAAATGCGACGGCGGCGGCGGACAGGGCCAACGGGGATGCAAACCACCGTAGAATGGCCAGCAACGCCGCTGGTGCGGTGGGCACGATGATTCGGAGCGAAAATCCAATCCAAAGCGGCACCAAGCTCACAGTAGTGGAAGTCCTTGGCAGCGTCACTAGTACGGTAAGTACGATGATTCGGAGCGAGGATCCAATCTGAAGCGGCACTGAACCCACAGTAGCAGAAGTCCTTGCGAGCGTTCGTCGCACTATCAACCGCCTCGCTCGAATCTCCTCGGCATGACACTGCTCGGAACTCGCACTCCATCGAGAACAAGCGAGACTCGCGCGGCCCGTGACGCGCGACGCCACGAAAATAGAAGCCGGGATCTGCGCTGGAAATGACCACAAGCTAAGAAACGCGAGCGAAGCCGATTGTGCGGGGAGGGTCCGGGTATGCCACCCGGTCCTGGTGCGCCGCAGAGACTCAAGGGTGAGAAGCACCAGGGAAGCGATGCATGCCGATAGAATTAGAATGAGCGCGGAAACAGTTGCGACTACGGCACCGACAGAGGATATATCTGCTGACCCCCATCAGCAGCTCATGCGTAACGTCGGACGGAGGAGCCGCGACGACGAAGCTCACCGCTTGAATCGACACGAACGAGCGTCGAAGCGGGGATCTTGTGGAACAGAACGGGTTTTCTCTTGTCCACATGGCCAAACGCGTTGATTCCTGACTTTTAATAGGCGAGGAGAGCCAGGCCGAACTCTCGGACGTACGGAATGCCATGGACACCTAGGCCCGTACCCACGCGAGGAGAAGAGAGAGAAGTCGGGGCCATCTGGAAGGCAGAACCGTGCTAAACCTCATGGGTGTAGAGAGGAGGACGAGGGGCTGGGGAAGAGGGGCCTTCTGTGCAGGCAGCGACGCGATACTATCGCGACGCGTCGTGATGGCAGTGTCCGCATCCGGGGTCGGGTTCCTGCTCGGCAGTGGCTCTCGGCGTGGAGATGCTGATCCAGGGATGGGATGTTCGAATCTGGGGCCCGAAATTTCGACTGGCTAGTGACCAACTGTGTGCTGAGACAAAGCCAATCCAGGTCACGCAGGCATCTTCAGACCCACGTGATCATTTGTCCTATGACGTCGACGCTCATCGAAACCCGGACCAACGCGATATACATACCAATGCTTGATTGCCACACAGATACCCTATCTCAAGGTTTAGACGGATAACGTCAAAAATGGACCATGGACCAGATATCCATCTTGGCTTCCCCGGGATCAGAGGCAGCACTGCCTGGATTTCCAAGTCTTTCCTTTCGAGACCAGTCAGGCTTCGCCGGCAACTTGGCGCTGCAGATCATCTCTTTGCTTGATGGAGGAGTCCTTCGCCAAACCTTCCATTCTAACTGACCGGAATGCTCGTCTCCACACTCTTGTGACCTCGAACTCTGCTGAATAGCCGACAATTCTATTCCGGATTGAATCGTAGGACAGCATACCCATCCGTCCTTGGTCTCGTGTCTTGCGTTTTCGGCTCCGCTTCGATCTTTTATCATCCACCCCCTCGAGCAAATTATTCCATCATAAGACGATCCAGCGTCAGACGACTTGCCCCCGAATCTCAATTTGAGACTGCATTCGCACTCTTTACCACAGCCCCCGGAATGACGCATATCGCGCTTCTCATGTGGTAATGGCTGCGTGCGCTAATGGGTCACCCAGTAGACGTGTTCGCATGCGCAAAGCAGGCCAGAGTATTGGGAAGGCTACAGTTGCGCTCAAACAAGCCGCAGAAGACCACTCGACCCCTGTCAGCGACGTCGAGTGAAAACACGCCCGCAACCGGGCAGTGTCTTTGAGGCCGATATGGACGATGAAGACGCAAGTTCTCGTGTACGAGACTGATGTCTAGAGCGAAAGGGAAATCGAGGGGATGGTTGATAATCGCGACGAGCTAGACTTGTCCCTGGCGAGCAGTCTTCAACTGCGACATCCATTGCAGGACCGGTGTAAGTGACATGAGTTGTACTTGTACAGATGATGGTATACCCGAAGTTTTCTATTCTAGATCTTGATAAGCGCAAGCCTCTACTTTGACCAAATCATGGCGATATCTACGATGGCACTCTGCAAGGTCATTGGTCGTCCTCCCTTTAATCCTTGAAGACTTTGAATCGGTCCTCGATCGGCGCGAAACTCTTCGCGGCGGCATCGGCAGTAGGAACACCAAACGGCATGATGGCACTCGACGTCCATGTCTCCGGGAGACCGAACTCGGCTCTGATGGCGCTCGCGAGGGCGGGATTCGCTCCGTTGTGCTGCAGCGAGGCGCCGAGTCCCTCCGCGTCCAGAGCGGTCCACACGATGTACTGCAGGATGCCCGCCCCGTTCTGGCTCCACACCGGGAACTGCGTGGCGTATCTGTTCATAAGAAAAAAGGCTCCGAGATCAGCAGAGCGAACGTGGGTGGGGTGAATGGCTCCGTACGCAGGTATCTTGGCGATCAGCCCGTCGACGACGGCCTGGTCCTCCCAGAACAGGACAGACCCGTAGCTGTTCGTGAAGCCGTCGATTCGTTTCTCCGCTGCGTCTTTGCGGTCGCCTAGTGAAACAGCATCAATGTATGCAGGCCAAACGTCAAGCACGAAGCAGCAGACCATCAAAACCGGCGACAGCCGATTCGCGCACCAGCGACCAGAGCTTCTGGTTCTTTTCTCCGAGAACGAGGACTGCGCGCGCGGACTGCGAGTTGAAGGACGAGGGCGCGTTCAGCAGGGCGCTCTTGATGATGCCCTCGAGTTTTTCGTCCGGGATGGAGGACTTGGGCGAGAGCACGTAGCGGCTGCGGCGAGCAGCGACAGCGGCGAGGAAGGCGGTAGACATTGTAGGCTAGGTTGGGATGAGCGGGATGGGAGTTGAGCCCATCCCCCGCCCGTCTTTATGGGACCCGACGAGATGGATGAACGAATTATGCGGATGATGTGTAAGATAACGAAATCACGCCCACGCAACGACATGACTGAGGAGCGTGCGCTGAGCGAGCACAGTGGGCCTGCTGGTCGGCCTGAGCTTCGGGATTATGCTATCGATCGTCCGGGTAATTGCCAGGGAATCAGCATACGGGCGACCTCGCCTGGTTGAAGTTCAATATGAATATCATGTCTTGTAAAAGTCACGTGGTGATACGCTTCTTAGATCGAGCTCTTTCGAGTGCTACATGCCCTTGTAAGTCAACTACCGCGGAATAAATGGAGGAGTCGTCTCCTTCTTACACTTCTGAATCGGGAATCGCATCTTCAGTGCAGGAAGAATATGACGTTCCGCGAATCCTCAACCAGCTAGCTCACTGAACAGCTGATGGCATCGAGTAGCATGCTGTTGAACGTGATGAACTGGCACACGAAGGCCTGGAGAAGTTTACAGATGGTATTTTTATATCTCAAATTCTCCCGAATCGATTTGTTCGATATTTCTCCGTTACTTCCATAAGCGCGCTGTTTCCAAATAGAAAATAACGCGTGACTCTCATTCAAGTTGAAGATGAAGTCTTGAGCCGTAACAAGAGCTGAGGGGCAGTCTTGGCGGGTACTTTGGGACTCGCAGCCTTCGACGCGCTGACAGTACCCGACATTCACCTATTCCCAGCATCTGTGGACAAGCGTGGGACGGTAAGGAACCAGCTCTGACAGGTGGAACGGGCAGTCGAGATCCTTATTCGCCGCCAGTGGCATGTCTCAAAGTGAGAGCCTAATGGCTATGATTTCACTCCAGGCGGATGATAACGAGCGCCACGCACAGAAAAGCCCCTCGTCGCGGAGACTTTCGAGTTCTCGGCCAAAGACAGAGCGCAACATTCCGCGAGGATTTGCCCACAATGCCAGCGGACAGGTGAGCCCGCACCCTGAACTTTTGCGCGGTGGCAATGAGGGAGCCCAGGCTCGGTAACGACGGCGACATCGCAGACGACATTCGCCAGGTTCCTACCTCTCAAAAAGCAGGCAGTATGGTATTGTACGAAATGTGAATGGAGGAGGGCGATCAACGAGAGGTGAGTAGGGACTAGTAACCTCGTAGAACTCGCGGCGCGTAAGACTGACATGTGTTGGGAGTTGGGAACCAGCCGTGTCAAAGAGCGCGATCATAGGACGGCCGTCGACCAGTGAAGAGGTCAATCCCATGTATAGGATGGCGGAAATGTGGTATCGACCACCTGCAGATGTGTTGACCGAACCACAAGCCAATCCGAAGCACAGCGTGACGGAGGAGGGTCGAAAGTAATGAAAGTTTGAGACTGAACACTTTTTGTCTCGCGCTGCTGTGACTCACGCAAGAGAGCAGCTCAGAAAGCGCCGACTGCTGAGTCGGAGGCTGGCACGGTGACGGCAAGGTGGCACATGTCCCATCAGTGCATCAGGCTCACATGATCAACGGGTGTCGGCCGGTGTCAAATCAGTGGCTGTGGCTGGTCAACAACGGCGGAGTTGGAATTCATTTCGACGCGCTCCTCCATGTCTGCTACACTTCCGATCACATAAACCATTTCTTCAGCCCTCAGACGCGACTAGGAAGCGTGTCTTCAAACTTTGCTCATCCGACCCTCCGAACTGCAGTCCCTTCCCATGTCGCAATCACAATCGCAATCGGACGAAGAAGGGCGCTTCTCTCCGCATTCGAGCGATGATGAGAAACTCTATGAGGTTATCGAGATCTTGAAGGAGAGCAAGTCGAAGTACTTGGTCAAGTGGGCAGGCGTGGACAGTAGAGGCAAGCCCTGGCCAGATGATTGGGTGCCGAAACAAGATGTGACGAATCAACTGGTATCGACCTGGAAGAAGAAGAAGGCTCTGCTGCGCGAGAAGAAAGGTGCGCTTGTGGTAGCACGAAGCTGGTCTCCTCCCTACTAACTGACGAAAGCTGAGAAGGCTGCGCGCGCTACATCGAAAGCGTCCACTGCTCGTGCGCGTCGTGCATCAACAAGTACTACACCCCGCGCACAACGCTCGACCCGTTTCTCCTCGCACACTAGTGCACTTACTGGCGATGGTCACCGGGAAGATGTCCACGGAGCCATCTCGACCACTTCTACTCTCGGAAAGAAGCGACGACGTTCACAGCCTGTTCCTGAAGAAGAGGAAGAGGAAGAGGAGGAGCAGCGGCCAGAGCCAGCACCCAGTCGGCCTCTTCCTCGCAAGCGGCCTCGGTTGGTTGATGATCAGGAGGTTCTACCCGAGCCCGACCCTGCTCCTCTCTCTTCGGTCGGCAGCCGATCCAAGAGCAGAGAGAAACGAAGTCCTGTCCTTCGGGACTCGAAGGTCGAGGAGGAAGAGGAGTTTGGAGATATCTCTGCACTCGAGCCAGAGCACGCGCATGGACCAGAAGAGCTGCAGCTCGACTCGCAGGCGCTCTCTCCAGGGGGAATAGAGCGGTTAGCGCAATTCGACCTCGATATGATGCAGCCAGCACAGACGCAGAAAAGCCAACCGTTATTTCTGGCAGCCTCGGATGACGACAGCGACGACAATTTGTTGTCCCCGCAGCGCTCACCCGCAAAGGCGCCGTCCCTGTCTTCCATTCCCGTTCGTCGAGCGAAATCACCAGTGGTATCCGATTACGAAGGCGAATATCAGTCGCCGTCACGTCCTCGGGCTTCCTCCTCACATCGCGTAATTGACCAGTCGTATCGCTCGGGAGATATCCCGGAAACTCAATCCGCGTCGCCTTCGCCGCTATCTGCGCCGAAACGTCCACCGAAAGAGTCTACGGCTGGCCAAACAAAGAGGCGCTCACCTGATGAGGGCCTGGCTCCGATTCCTATGATGACTGCGTCCCGATTCGTTGCCCGTGCTGGTCAGAATGGGATGTATGCTAATGAAGGGGACGATCTGGATACCCCGATGAGTAGCATCGAACAGTTCAGCTCGCCCATCAAACCAGACGCGCATGCGGTGAAGAAGTTGAAACGACGTTCATCGAAGGCAGAAGAGTTGATCAGGATCCCCATACGAAGAGGCTCGGAAGCGCGCGAGGAGCAGGGGGTTGCGATCAATCACGACGACGTCGTCGCTCGCGGTGTTGAGCTGGCAGCGAAGGCTTATAAGGAGCGTCGTCAGGAGGCAGCGGCGTATCGGATGTTCGACGTGCCTCGCGTTTGGCAAAAACCGGAATCGCAGACCCAAGCGGCGACGAGTCAGAGCGTTACCGAGGCCGATGGTGTGGAGTCGATTGTCAGGAAGACCGAGTTTTCTCCCGCGACTCGGTTTGCTATGCGGGAGGAGGAAGAGGAGAACACCCAGGACTTGCTCAATGAACGACTCGGACTGCGACAAGAAGAGGAAGAGGAGAAAGGTGCAAGTGATATGGAGGACGTCCAGGAACAACTTTCAGAGCCCGAAGTCCAGCTCGAGGCTCAGTTCTCGGAGCACGAGACGGAGATAGAGCCATCGGTCGATCTCGACGCGGCAGAAAAGTCCGCTTGGAACATCGAACAGGCTTCGCAGCGAAATACGTCCGATCGGCTGGAGCCGGCGGAGGAATCGATAGAGTTGGTGAGTGGTCAGATTCAGTGGAGGAACTGTTGGTCAATGACCCGAAGAAATACCCTGCTGATGCAGAGGATGAAGGAGGAGCGCCCGATGAACTTGGCGAACTGGTACTTTCGGCTCCAAATCCGATTTCCGTCGACTGATAATTCTAACCAGGCCTACCCCAGCAACGACGACGACGAGGCTGCCCCAGTCATTAACGGCAGGACGGCACGGACTCGATCCCCCGTTTTACATCCTCCCAATGAGAGCTATGAGCTTCCACCGACTGCCTCCACTCGCGAAGGAGGTGGAGATCTCAAATCGAGCCATCCGGTACGCCCTCCACTTTCTTCTGCTAGTCGAATTGTAATGGCGATTTCAGGCGGTCGTTCTTGATCCAGATGCCATGATGACTTTGCTGAACCACAAATCTGATGAATGCAAGCAACTCGAGGCTGAACTGAGCCATGAACGATTAGCTCTGGTAGCCCAGCGAGCGAAGAACCACAATCTCGAACAGGAGATTCAATTTCTGCAATCACAACTTGATCAGGACCCTCGCGTAGTCGTCACAGATGCGGCCGACGAATCCTTGATTGCAGAACGCCAGCTCAAGGACGCGGCGATCGCCGAGCGGGACATTCTACAGAGCAAGCTAGCCGATGCCGAAAAGCAGGTCGAACTGTTCCGCGAGTACTATGGGAAAGCATCCGAGTTCGGCAGCGAAAAGTCGAAGGAGAACAAAGCACTGCAGGAGCAGCTGACGATGGCAGAGAGTGCCAAGACTCAGGGTGTCGCTTTGGTCAGGGCGACTTTCGAGAAACGGATCGAACAGCTCCAGACGGACGCCAACAGCTGGCGTAATCAGGCCGATTTCCTCCGGCAACAAGCCATCCGAACGAACGACGACGGTCTCAGGAGGCGGGCCGCTGAATATCCGGAGCTCCACCGACGGTACGAGAAGCTGGTCTCTGACAACGAAGTGTATCAGGACCGCCTGGATGCTCAGGACGAGGATCTGCGCGCCAAGATCGACGAACTGCAAATGCTACACGAACAAATCGCCGAGCTCAAATCACAGGCAGTAGTCCTGGATGGAAGGAGTCAGGTATATCGATGTGCGTGGCGAATGGAAGGATCGGAACTAGCTTGCCCGGTGTTCTGCACCTCAAGAGAGGTGAACTCGTTGCCCGCATATGCTAGCGAGTGCCTGCTGACGCTCCCCTCAAGGACCTCGTCATCCACGCTAGAATGCACGTGCTTCAACCCCCTGATCATTGAATGGACGACTACCCCGTATAGTGTGTATCTGTCTGTAATCTGTAGTGTAACAACAAGTCGTGCAACAGATCACGTTACCGCGAATAATCTTCCCTCCCGTTGCCAGTCCACAGTCGTCTATCCCTTTCTTATCCCTCTGGCCCGCCTTCATTCTCAAACCTCATCGCCTAGTGCAGGACCCAGCGATGTTCCTATACCCTCTTCTACATTTTGCAATATCTGCTCTACTATTCGATTTCGCTCGGGCCTATATCTACCCGACATTTCCTATTGCCAACTCGCACCTCGCCCCGGGGAAGAACGCGACGCTCAGATGGAAGGACAACGACAAGCACCCCTTGATCTCTGAGATGAACGCGGTCAGGATCGATCTGTGCACACCGAACGGGGTACGCGTTTCGCACTGGGAAACGCGCGAGTCGGAAGCTCATCCGTAGACAGACCGTGCTGCACAATCTCGCTCAGGGCGTGGATCCGGCTGTCCTGCACAGAGTCGTGCATATCCCCAACACGCTGTCGTCTGGAACTTTGTACGTCCTCCCATCATGGCAAGTTGTGCGACACGCCCATTTCCGTGCCCCACAGCGCGATCACGTTCAAATGCGATGACCCGCCTCTCCGAATGTGGACCGCGGACTTCACGATCGACGCGAACCCGGACGCGGTTAGCAGCGTGTCGACTGACGGCGGCCCGGCCACGCAGACCGCAGTCGAGGCCGTTCAGACCGTGGACGCAACGAACACACAGACGCAGACGCAAGAAGCTGACGACGAGGTGACGCTTGTTCTCCCGGATGCGACGGTCGTGCGCTCGCTCCTCGCGAATCCGACCATGGGTGCCTCGACGACGGTTGTGGCGGATCCGCTGCCGCAGGTTGGAGGTGCGGGCACGGGACTGAGTCACATACTGTCTCAGGATCAGAAGGGAGGAGCGAGTGCGATAGGAATAGGCGGGGAGATGATGATGGCAGTGACGGTGATGGCGGTGGTTAGCTTACTTAGCTTGCCGGTGTAGTCCTGCTGCTCCGCGTTTGTATGAGGAGCATGAATTGTATTGTAAAACATCCCAGCATTTACATATCTTCTACACTACACGTCTGTTAGCTTCCCCTTTCGGGTACTAGTCTCTTGAGCCACGGAGAGGCCAGACGCTGGACCATGAAGATCCTTATTCAAGAGGGGCCAAGCGGGTTCATGGAATCCCTGACTTGGGGGTGGGTACAAGAAATGCTCGAGGCCAGCTCTCACACACCGCCGGAGCGGATTCATCGTGCAGAAACACGGAAAAGACTTTTCAGCGGCTCGACCGGTGACGGGAGACACGCCTCGGAGACTCGTGCCGCAGGCCGGATCCTTTTTATATGAACCCAGGCGCCAGATCAGCGACGAGCACCGCAACGCCAAACAGAGGAAACGCCGTAGCGCCCAACGACACAGAAACGACTTCTCAGCGGCTCGACCGATGACGGGAGACACGCCGGACGGAGACTCGAGCCGCAGGCCGGGTCCTTTTTACATGGACCCAGGCGCCAGATCAGCAACGAGCACCGCAACACCGAGTAAAGTAACGCCGTAGCGCCCAATCAACAAACACTGGATCCCGAAACCATACACCGTAGCGCGAGACACATCGCAGACGAGGCACGGCCAAGCGGAGGGACACGGGAGTTTGGTAAATGACCCCCATTCGTCCGACTGCCGGCGTGCTCGTCTGAAACAAACGGAGCATGTGGGGTTGTTAGCGCGCTGTGCGACACGATGAGAAAGATGGAGCTTACCAGCAATCGACAGCGTCCACCTCCTACCTCCAGTGCCAACCATCCAGAGCTCATGCGTCGTCCTACACATGAAGGGCGGAGACTGGCCATGAGAGGAGGAAGAGCACAGAGAAGGAGGCGGAGAGGCCTGCTCTTCCGCGCTTGATAACGGGGGCTTTTATAGTCTCGCGGAAGAAATGTCTCACTCCCGATTCTGCATTTGCGGAGCGCGGAGAGTGCGGGACTTTGGTCGAGTCTCAGCACACGAGCGATCATCCCGAGTTCCCGAAATGGGAAGGCGGAAAGTCTGAATTCAATCAGCTTTGGAAGGACTCACTTGCGCACTTGCTTCCCCCTCCATGCGCTACCCCTGCCGTCCCACAACACCGGCCATCCTGCGAGCTGAATCAGCACCGTCACCGTGTCGTAGATCACCACACGTGAGAGGGAGCACGCAAAAGTGTCCAGATGCACGAGAGACACGCGTTCGGGCGCGTCGGTCTGTGAGTGAGTGAGTGATGCCGGGGCTCGTGAACGACAGTGATCGGCGAGCCGGACGCCAGGAGTGGGACAGGTATTCTGGCGATGAGTTTCTTGTGGCCCGGGTACTCGAGAACTGCCGAAGTGGAGGCAATGAAGTAACATTTTTGTGTCGATTTCGACAGCCTGCTTGCACCAAACCTTCGAGAATATGAACTCGATCGCGGCGGCCGTTGCTTGTACGGGCGCCGCACGCTGAGAAGAACTCTACGACATTCCAAGTGATATTTTTCGTGTTCGACTTTCGGATCTCATAAGTGACCAGGCGTTTGCTCGATTTGAGTTCCATTGATCAGGGATTATAGACTATAGTCGTGGGGAAAGTGTGGGGAGGCGGAGAGTTTGTGACGCAGATCGTGTCACAAGCCTGTTTGATTGATCTTTGATCAAGGTTTATGATGCGCTCCGTCGGCGTGTGACAGTGGGAAAATGAAATAACACGGAGCCCCGTAAGCGGTAGGTGTGACGTCGGTAGGTGATAGCGGCGGAGAGAGCAGCGGAAGCGGATGGGCGCGGCTGGGCGTCGATGGCATACCAGACGGGATGCTTGCTTTATATCTGACCCTGAGCCCGCTGTCACTCCCTTCTTCCCTCGCCTTGGGCTTCGTCTGGCTTGCTCGCTCGTTGTGGGACGCGGCGGCCTGGGTTCGGTCCTGTTGGAGCTCTTGAAGGTGATTGGCCGGATCAATTAGGAAGTGCGGGGGAAGATAGTGCCAGATACTACCCAGCCGCATGTAGCGTCTGTGCAGCTTGGGTGCAGCTGTCCGTCTGGAAAAGGCTTGGGCACTCGAGGCTCGCTCTCCTGCTGCGCGACTGCGCGATGGTGCATAGGGGGGGACGGATCACATTGACCGACCGTATCATATCCACTGCCTCGTGGTCAAGTGATGCAGATGTCATTGACTCGGTGAATTGAGATCCTCTCCGTTTCTTGCTCTCTTCGCCATTGCAGTTCTCCAAGCGGAATGCCACCGGACACGACACCGGACTCGGCCGCGCTCTTAAAGGAGCGGAGGTTCAAGCTGAGCAGGTGCGTCGTGCCTTGTGCGGCGGATTTACATAATTGAGACGAGCTGGGCAGGGCATGCGACCGATGTCGGTAAGCTCTGCGCCCGCGCTGCGATTCCCAGCTCACGCGCACGCACAGACGCCGGCGCATCAAGTGCGACGAGGGTCACCCGTGCCAGGCCTGCCTGGCAGCGAACTCAGCGTGCACATTCGAGGAGCAGGGCAAACGCACGCACCCGCACAAGTCGAAGCGCACCGCGACGCTCGAGGACCGCATGCACCAGCTCGAGACGCTCGTGCAGGCGATCCCCCCGGCCGTCTTCGCGGCGACCATCGGTGGTGCGGCGCCAGGTGGATCGGGGATGGGCATGGGCGCCCCTGCGAGCCCCGTGGCGCCGTACACTGCATTCACGCTGCCGCTGGGCGTACCACCGCCTTCGCTACACAACTACCCCCTCACGAATCCATCGACACACTTTATGCCCCGGGAATCTAAGCAGGAAGAACGTGCGGGTTCGTGCTCGTCCGAGATGGGCGATCAGCTCGCGGAAGACACTTCTCGGCTAACGCTATCCGCATCCTACCTGTATTTCGACGACGAGGGGTTTACTCGGTGGCAGGGCGAGGCATCGGGCTTGCCGCTGCTGGATCTATTGGTCGAGCGACATGTGCCGTCGACGGCAGACACACCACCCAGCGTCCCGGCTGAGCAGGATTGGTTCCCTAATCGAACGGCTCGCCGCATGGATGTGAATCCAGAGACGACGTGGAGACTAATAACTTCATACATTCCCCCAGAGCTGATGGACAAGTGGGTGCCATTTCGTCGCTTGAATCTAACTGAGTGTGCTTCGCAGTCTCGTCCAGTGCTTCCTGTCTACATCCTCCTACATCCTCCCTTTCTTGCATGTCCCGACATTTCTCGGCGTGCGTTTTTTGACCCACAGCTGCGCGTCATGTGAGCTGATCGCCTCGTGCAGGACTACAGCAATCCTCAGAAGTGGGGAGAGCCGGGCTTCCCGATGTTCATTGTGGCGATCTGCTGCCTAGCCTCACGGCACATGGATGACCCCCGTGTGAGGTCTTCTCCCAAAGACGGTGTTTCGGCTGGAACACAGTGGTTCGAACTGTTCGAACGGCTTCGGATGATGCCGATAGCGGATCGCCCTACTTTATACACCATCCAGGCCAATCTCATCGCTGCTGTATATGCTGTCGGGCTGGGGAAACTAACGAAGGCGGCTGCGCTGCTGTCAGAGGCGATCACGATGTCCATCGACGCGGGTCTGCATCGGAGCGCGGACACGTACGATCTATTCGATGCGATCGAGGAGGAAGTCCGGAAGCGCACGTTCTGGTGTGTGTACATATGGGACAAGCAGCTTTCTGCCCACTTTGGCCGCCCCCCGATGCTCCGACTGCGCGACTGCGATGTCGGCGAGCCCGCGCCTGTGGACGACGAGTACATCACGCCGGAAGGCGTCGGTGCGCCCGCCGGGTTGCCTCCCGGCGCACACTGCCGGATGGCCGCGTTCGTGGTCGCGCTGCGGATCCTGGTTGTGCTCGAGAGCGTACTGGACATCCCACCAGCGAGAGACACAGCTGGCGGGTCTTTCCTTCTGAGAGCTGCTTCCGTGCTGAGCAACCCGCGGCCGCGGCGCGAGCTCCGCGACGAGGAGACGCTGCTGGACGAGATCCACCACAGCATCCCGCCGCATTTCGCGCACTCCACCGAGACGCTGGCCAGCGAGGACACCATCCGCGTCACCCAGGCGGTGCGGCTTCACTGTGCGGAGCAGTTCGTGCGGCTGCTGATCTACCGACATCGATTCTCGGAGTTGGTGGCCGAACGCACGGCGCCGATGGATCCGATTGCGCGGCCACCGCAAAGCCAGGCCGAGCAGGATGCGATGGTCAAGGCGCATTACGCTGCGCTGCAGATCGTCACGTCCCATGTTCTGATCGCCAAGCGAGGGCTGATGACGTACTGTAGGCGGCTTTCTCGTGCCTGTTAGTCCATCTGACCCCTCCCATAGATGGTGTCCACGTGATTCACCAACTGACTCAGGCTGGTCGCACTTTGGTTGCGATCCTGCTCAACTGTCAAACAGAACCGCTGCAACCGTTGATACAGCCTGGTCTCGATGGCGTGCGATCATGTGTGCTGTTGCTTCGCCGGTTCAGTGGTCGCTATGTATGTGGCCAGCGGTCGGGGGATTTGATGGAAGAGTTCTGCCGACGTGCGTGACATCGACATCTCATCCGGTTGCCTGGTTTCTCATGTTTCTTCCTCAGTGACCCAGATTCCGCTGGGAGAGCCACCCGAAACGAACGGGAACCCCAACGCGCGGCCCCCTTGGGTGAGGCCCGTGCGCAAAAAGTCGGTGGCCATGAACGCCATTACGTCGAGAAGCTCTGAAGGCTCGAGCCCGGATGCAGACCGCGTCTCTGTGCAGGCGTTCGACGCCGAGTACGTCTCTTCTCTCTCTGTCGATCCGCTCGCGCTGTCGGTGGACACAGACCCGCGGATGTTGGCGGATGTGTTGGCCATGTTCACGGACAGCTCACCCACGGATGGGAGTCAGATGTTCCCAGCGGACGAGTTTGATGGGGCATTTGGTGCTGCGGGATTCAAGATGGGGCTCACTTCACCTTGATCGTTCTGTCTTCTGGTTTACTTATCACGCGCGCATGTATCTACTACTACTATTTGGAATGTAAAGCATCCTGTTGATTATCGCTCATTGTTTTGCTGTCTGTCGTTCACGGTGGAGAATTCTCGAATATCAGGCACACGCTCAGGCGTGCACATGCGCATCAGACGGCGCACAAAGACCTTGCCTAATCCGACACCAATATGCCTTTTGGGGATATACCGCTTTAGGCGAGACAAAGAGGCTTCCCCATTTGTATACCTGCCAGACAGCGGGCTGCAGTCACCCTTTTTGGGAAAACGTGGATGCATACTTCCTGGGGCCGCCGATGAGTCGTCTGCGTAGGCCAGTGGAGAATTTCCCAGTCGTCGTAGAATATTCTGGGAGGCCAGCTGCTCGGTAACCAATGCAACTGCCAGATAAGTAAGCTGGCGCCGAATTCTTTCAGCTTACCTCCCTTGGCAAACACAATAAACGAGCGCCGATCACACACCAAAACGGGAAATGACTGTTGCCTCATTATCATCAATCTCTTTTGTCTCGTAGATACATCCCGGGGCCAGGGTTCTTCTGGCGGGTGGACACAAAGAGGATGTGATCTACTTAACGACCCCCCTCCTGCTCCTTCCCGGGCCTTGCTTACCCGCTCACCCACGCATCTCACCATGACCCCACCCTCCCCAGACGCGACGCGCCGCCGCCCGCCCATCGACGCCCTCCCTACCGAGCTGCTCGCCTACATCCTCACCCTCGCAACGCACGCCCCAGACGCCGAGCCCCGCCCCGCGACGGTGCCGGACCCGGAGCAGGAGGGCGGCGACATGTGCACGTACCAGCCGTTCGACGCCGCGTCCGTCAAGCGCCCACTGCGGTACGCCGGGACATGCCGGCGCTGGCGCGCCGTGGCGTTTGACACCCCGCTGCTGTGGACGAACATCTGCGTGACGCCGGACATGTTCGTGCCCGGGTGCCCCGCGGACGGCGGGGACGAGGTGCTCGATACTTGCTGGCTCGAGCTGTACTGCCGCCTGTCGCGCAATCGGGCGTTGGACATTCTCATTGATGGGCGGGACATGGAATGGAGGCATGCGGATCCGAGGTGCGTTCCCGCGTCTATCCTGTTGATCTCCTGTGTCCCATACCGTTGTTACAGATGCTACACTCCGTGGTTCACGACGAACCACATGACACACGCGCTATCTGTGTTGCTACCGCACCTCGGCCGGTGGCGCTCCATCTCAGTGCTTACGGACGTCTACAGCCCAATGCACGTCGCTCTAAAAGCGCTGGATACATTTCTCGTTGCCTACGGCGCGCCGTTTCTAGAGAGCATACGACTCATGCGATGCGATGCCTACGCAGCCTTCAGCAGAGACTCTCCCGTCTCAGATCCAGCCCAGTTGTTTCTTGCCTCGGCGACGAATCACAGAGGACTGCTCCCGTCCTTGCGCCACCTGACGATGCGGGGCGTGCCGGCTTGCTGGTCGAGTGTTGCTGCTCAACTGACCGATAAACTCTGTTCGCTCGAAATATCACATCTCCCCCGACCGGCCCAACCGACAGTAACAAACTTCGTCGTACTCCTCTCCGCAGCTAAAAACGTATCGCGCCTGGTGATGAATGGCGCCGGACCCTCACTCCAAGACGTTGGCCAGGACTTCCTAGACTCGGCGCCAATCGGCCCGTCGCTCCCCCTCCTCTCGCACGTCGTGCTCGGGATCCGCAAAACAGCGGTCGGCTTCGCCTTGCTCCACATGCTGCACGGTGCGCCGAAAATGCACCATCTGACGTTGGAGGATGCATCCGACCCGGCCGAGCGGCGGTCGGTCGACTGCGCGCCTCTGATCGCGTTCCTCCACCTGCGACCCAACGCGGGTTTGTTCCCGACGCTTGCGGAGCTGAGACTGCGCCGAGTGCGGTTCGGCGGGCCGGTTCCTCCAGGCGCGCATGTGCCTTATTTGGAGCTCATCAGTGTCGAGCCGAATGCGCTGGATGTCCAGGCCGACGAGGTGTGCATCCGAGGCCCGATACAGCTCCCGAGACGGCCGCTCGCTTTGTCTATCGAAGACTCGTGCGACATGGTGCAGACGATGTGTCTGGGTAAGGGCGACAAGGCACCCCGCTTGGTTACCGTGCACGAGTTCGAAGGACCAGACGGCGACGGCTTGCGAGAATACAGAAATTTCGGCAGCACGGAGATGCGCATCGTCACGAGAGCGTCTCGATGTGCAGAGTGGTGGGAAGAATCCTCGAATGCACCGTCCTCCGACAGTGAGGATTCGGAAGTGGGCTCATCCAAGCTCAGGCGGGGGAGTGATCCATACAAATTGGACTGGCCATTAGAGCTGTATTGATACTGTATTATTAGTCTTCGTTTTCGAGTACTGGTATGTGCCCGAGTGCCCCGGATTGCACTGGGCTTTTCGAATGATTTTCATGTTCGCGCGATGTCGCTGTTATCAGTCGTCGAAAGAGGTTTCGTTTTAAAACGCGCCGACGCCGGATCTCGCCAGACGTCAGGTGGGTCCGTCAAATCCGGTACGGCTGCCAATTTGCGGAGACGTGGAGAGAAGCGGGTGCTGGAGATGCCGCCTGTGCCCATCTCGAGCGACTCGCGGCGGAACTGCAACTCCCGGCTGGGAATGCCTGGTACGTCGCGTGCACGCAGCAGTCTCCGCCAATCCTCGTCCTCGTCTCTGCTCCGCTGATGCCTAGGAATAAGGGAGGAGGCAGGGGTGCTGCGTTGACGGGGTGCCCCCGCGCGTGTGTATCGGGAGTCCTGGACCATGGAAACACCAAGGTGCGGGGTATCCATCCGCTCTGGAGACATTGACGACGTGTCGCGCATAGAAGATGATGAAGTAGAAGGGGATTTCGACAGAGCTGGCAAGTATGCAGGATAGGTTGTGCGACTCGGCAGGTAATGATCTTCGGACTGGTTCAGTATCGGTTCTGCGCACTCGTTCGTATGCAACGCACCCGTCCTGAGTCCTATACTGGGCCTTTGCCGTACATGGGGGCGCGCAAGCTGTCGCTCTTCGGCGGCATTCCTGCTGATCAACTTCGTGTTTTGCACAGGCTCCGGGGGCCCAAGGAGCGCTTTGGACAGTGGCTGTGCGGGCGGAGCCTCGGAAGCATTGTCTTCGCAGATGAGCCGCGCGAGGAGAAGGGACTCCTTACGGATAGTCCGGATCTCCTTGCGCCGCATTTGCTTCGTGTGTGAGGCCTGCAGAGACGCCAGCTTCTCGGGGCTGTCGGCCAGGTGGTACGGGAGCTGCGTGCGTGAGAGGGGGAAGAGCGGTAGCTTCGGCATGCTCGTTTGTCGAGAAAGGGTGCGGAGAGTTCTTGTGTTCCAAGTGGCCGAAATCAGAGCCTTGATTCGGACCAAATGGAAATGGTTCGCGTCGGAGTCGAACTGGTGACTGGAGCTTATTGGGCAAGCAAGGACATACAACGTCACAATCACCATCACATGCCTATAGAACTCAGTTATGTACTTTCACCGTTCTAGCCATCCCGAGAGTGAATTCCATTGTAGCTATTGCAATGCGCCAAAAGCAGGCGAATTCTGATCATACCGAGCCAAAAAAAAAAAAAGAGCAGAGCTGGGGACACAAAGCATGTTCCACGTGATCGTGTTACTCAGTCAGCGTCAGCCGGCATCCTGGCCGAATGACTGGTCGCATACTGGTCCAGAATGCGGACTTTGGATTTGAATTCATTTACATACATTGTACACCCAGACTACGCGTGATCAAAGCCCAAAGGCGACAGTCTGGCATCCATACATCTCCGATATTACTTTCGCGTTTCCGCCCTCTCCAGCTCCAGCAGCGACATAGATCGGCACGAAGTGCTCTTCTCGGGGGTGCGATGCCCGGAAGCCGCGGTGCTTCACGAGGTTCGCCATGGCCTGCTTCCGTGCCGTTTCCTGTGGGAAACCCAGTCAGTGCCCGCGCTTGAATAGCACAGTACGTCCACTCACATCTTCGACGGTCAGGGCATCCATGACGGCGCGGTCGAACGCGCGCTGGTCGTCCGACGCGGAGAACACGGACATGGACGTCGGCTGCCGCAGGTTGTGCGCAGTGAGCCCACCGCTGAGCACGAGGATCCCCTCCTCCCGCAGCTTCGCCACGGCTTTGCCGAGCGCCCAGTTCGCCTCGGGCGTGAGGCTCTCGTCGATGGAGACCTCGACGATCGGGATCGACGTGAATTCGTCCCCGAACATCATGCGGAAGGGCACGAACACTCCGTGGTCGAGCCCGGGGCCTGTGCAGACGCGCGTCAGTGGCGCGGCGTTGGGGGATTGGCAAGTCAGGTACTTGCCTGCGAAACCGCGCCCATCCTGTCCACGGCTCTCCGTCTTCGGAGTCAGACGCGCGCGTTGTCCCGCCTGAGGGATGTTAGAGGCGGGTGGGGTGCGAGGGTAGAAGGACTGACGGCTTTGTACAATTCGACGACCCGCTCAGAGAGAGCCTTGTCTCCCTTGGATACAAACTTGAGCTTATACATCGCGGGATCGAAGCCCTGAAACAAGTCAGTCAGTCGGTTCCAGAGAAGCGAGCACGCCGTTGCGTGAACACACATAGTAATCCATCAAGAGCGGGTTCTCGTCACCGTAGTCGGTCACTGCGAGAGAGCGTGAGTGGGGTCGGAGTATCACCGCGTAGCACACGCACCGAGACGTTCTCCGTATGTTTCCCAATGCGCGCTGAACACGACAATGCCTTTCGGCTGGTATTTCTTGAGCAAAGCCGGCCCGAAATCCTGCCGACATGGTCAGAAACGTCCGAAACTGCGATCGCAAGGCTGGGCTGACTTTAAGGAACGTGGCCAGCGGACCCTTCGGACCTGCCCATCTAGGCACGATCAATGAGCAACCCGCGGCTCATGCAAACGTAAGTACGCGAATAGACGAGACGCACTGTACAACGGACGAGAAGCGCGACTGAGAGTTATCTTTGTCCTCCGGGAACGCCATCAGAGGCGACCCGTGGCCGAAGAAGAACGCGGGGATCTTCTCGGGCGTGGCCGGCAGCGCGTCCAGATTCGTCTTCCACTGCGCCTGCAGTTCCTTCGGATCCGTGATGAAACCGGCGACCATAGCGTGGGTGGTGCGGGATCGAGCGTGTGGGTGTGTGAGAGTGTTCGAGAGGCGCTTGCGGAGGGCTGCGCCGAGTGACGTTATCGTGGAGGTCGGGTGCTGCTGCTAGAGAGGATGAGGGTCCGAGCTGAACGCGAGCTGCTTAAGTAGTTTGAGTGGGCGGCGCTCGTAAGCGCGATTAGGCCAGCTGACCAAGGGTGACATTTTCTAGGCTTCCCGATTAAAAAGAAGAAGGGGTAGCATGACAGCAGAGTAATTTGAAGACGACTGCGGTTGGATGAGCGAGAGGGATTCGGGGCTTGAGAGGTGGAGGTGTACTGGGATGAAAGATGGGTGGTCGCTCAAGGTGCTTGACTGAGGAATGCGATCCAAATAGCACACAACACTCGATCATCCTAACACTGGCAGGACGTACCTCAATGCTACCTCCTGGGTCCGCGGCTCGCACTGAACGTAGGCGTGACATACCAAGACGCAGATATTTACCTCATCGCAACGTCTCCAGTCGACGCTTCTGGTCTTTACTCTTTCTCGATCACGCATTTCAAGAAGAAATCTGGCATCGATGCAGCAGCAGCAATTGTACTGTACAGACAGCAATGGCAGTCGATCCTACCCCTCCTGGGTCTCAGAGAACGGCGCACCCAGCTCCCGCAGCATCTATCGCAGCGGTCTCATTCTCAGTCAACACTAAACGACATGGTCGCCAGGCAGTCTTTGTGGCACTTTCGTGGCTGAGAAATATGGACCCAGGTCTCCGGCGGCAATATATATATCCCTCGAGACTGTGCTTCTTAGAGCTTGTGCTGGAAGAGCCAGAGCCAGTCAAGATCGCGAGCGGCGCGGAGGCGAAAGAACGGTTATGTGATCATCACCGTGCCTTTGCTTTCGCGCAGGCCAGTAAGACCTGATCGCCAGTCACACCCAGCGTCGTTGCAGCGGCCGCCACTGGCTCTCCGACGGGGCCACCGGGGAAATACGTGATGGGTTTGGGGTGTGATGTCGCTCAACTCGGCAGGGCAGACGATGGCGGCCAACGCATCTCAGGGCCCTGTAGGCTTCAATCGCGATTCCGTGTTTCTTCGAGAAGTCCATCGTCGTGCGCTGTTGCTCGTAGATGTGTGGATGCAGCTCGGTCTATGCGGAGCTTGTCAGCTCTCAGCGCGCAGCAGCCACTGATCTCTCCGCACCTGATTCACTGTAGGTTTCACGGCGGCCGCGGTGAGCAAGAGCGCGAGGTGCTTATCGGTTAAGTTGCTGACACCGATGATCTGCGTGCAGCGTTGGCCCAAGCAACTGATGATGGGATCCATATCTCGAATGAGCGCATACTTTGCACGACCCTTCGCGTCCATCGGCTCCATCTCTCCCGGATAGAACGCTAGTCCGACAGAGCCAGGCGAGGGAAGTGGATGAGGCACAGATTCACGTACTGCAAACTCCTCTGCAGTGACTCGGCGTGCGGATGAAGGTACAGCCACTCACGTATGAAGCTTCCAGGTCCCCAAAGCAAGACTCAGATGGGAAATTTTCGGCCTGAGCGCAAAGGTCTATATTACGAGGGCAAGGAGATCCTTGGGTCGGGTTTACCGTCGTTGAGTTCGGCGTCTGTCCGAGGCATGTGAGGGAATGTGAAGCCACGAGCGAAAGGCTGCAGCGTTGGGAGCGAGGACGGTGGACCCCGTAGCACCTTATCTTATCGCGATTCTGATGGAGAGATGTGAGAAGTGGCATGGATTACAAGACACTGTCTATCCGCTCAGACTTGTCTACTTCGTACAGCACCTCGGTTCGGATGACATACTTGGCGCCCCGAGCGACGCCGCTGCCCTCGTGCAAGAGGCTGCCCTGCGCCGCACCGTGAGGGAACACACAGACAGCGCCCATCCTTGGGCGGACCGGCCGCGCCTCCAGGATCCCGGTCTGCGTCGACGGGAGGAAGAACGTCGTGCACCCGCCCTCGAAGTCGTCGTTGAGGTAGATCAGGAACGTCAAGCGGGAGTAGACCGCGGGATCCGAGTCGTAGACGTAAGCCGGCGGAGAGACGCTTTCGTCCAGCCCCGAAGCCGGCCAGGCGCCGTCAATCTGGGACGGGTATCAGCAACTAGGAGCTGGTGCACAAAACCTCTGCACTCGCATGTGGCCGGTAGAGCGCCCCCGGCGTGTAACGGTACAGCCGGAAGCGCCGGTTGATGCCTTTGACGGCACCGCCGTGGATCGAGGCAGGCAGCAGTGGCGCCACGCGGCTGTACAGCGTAGAGATGAATTCCGCGTCGGCCAGCCAGATGAAGTTGTGCGCGAGGATCGACGCGAGCTGCGTGGCGGATCCGAACGTCGGCTCGTCCGGCACCATGCCGACTCTCTCCGCCGCCTCGACGAGCGCGGTGCATTCGGACGGCTCGAACACATCGTTGATGATGAATGCACCTGCGCGCGGACCGTCAGCCTGGGCCGTTCGACATGCGGGTCCTTCGGGATCTCACCGGGCACGCCGTCGACGTCAAACCGTTGCGGCGTGCGCGAGCGGCGTTCAGGGGGCAGAAGAGGGAACGTATTCGGCGGGGAGTAGTACACAATAGCCGGGTGCTTGTTCGGTGGCCGGCGTTCTGGCCCAGGCGTCGTGTCCAGCGGGGCGATGCGCGGCACAGGATCGACAGTTTCGATTTGAGCAGCAAACGGGAGATCGGGCGGTTCGCGCGAGAACGGCGAGTACCACCTCAGCTGGCTGCCGGCGTCCAGCGTGCCGCCAGTGCTGGGGCCCGCGGCGATGCAGTCGGGCTGCGTCGTGCGGAGAATCGCGCACAGGACCTTCCATACGAGGGCTTCCTCGTCTTTCGGCGTGGATGGGGACAGGACGGCGTCACATTCCCGCACCCAGCGCTGCAGCGCCCCGAGCTTGGGCATCTGGCCCCGAATTTCCATCTCGGAGAGGAGGACTAGCGCGTCAATGTGGCGCTGGTCGACGAGTGCGGATGAGACCCGTGAGACCAGAGACGTGCCTTCCGGGAGTATGGGACTCAAAAAGGTGTACAGCGGGATGAAGCTCCGCACGCACCAGTAGATGAAGCCTCGTTGGCTATCCGCCAGTAATCGTGCACTGCCGTGCGAAATCCCTTCAGCGCCTTAAGGTGAATGAGCTCAGGGTGGTTTTTGAGTGTGACGAGCGTCTCCGTCGTGGTGTCCAGCTCGTCCGAGAAGATGAGATTGCCGATCTCCGCGCCGTCGCAGGGCGGAGACACCTTTGATACGCACACAATCCCTGCAGGCTGGGTGGCCTCTTTTTTGAGTTTCTTGGAGAGAGATTCGGGATGGTCCTGTGTAGACTTTCTTTTCTTGCTCTTTGCCATCGCGCTCGGGGTAATTGAATGGATGCGCTGCGAAAGACGAGAAGCTGGAGTTCAGGGATTCGACACTTGGCCTAGATTGGATCATTGATCGGTCTCGTGATTGACGGATGATCGACAGCACGCACATCCCAAACAACGCGTCTTTTCGTTCGCGCCGCGGAACGCCAGAACTCCGGGCTCAGATCCCCCTACCATCATGCCGGACGACGTGGACGTCGCTGCGCCCATGGCGCCGATCTACACCACGCTCGTGGTGCCGATGATGTCCTGCGCGCCCTCGAGCACCTCCTTCCAGTGGTCCGCCGACGGACAGGCCTGCTTCTTCACGAAAACGGCGCTCTACATCATGGTGCGTCCGTCCGCAGTACATCGAGGCACGAGTTGCGGATAGCCGAGCGCCAGACCCCTGATCACGGGCTGAACTACGACCCCGCGTCCGCGGTGAAAATCACAACCAAGGAGAACCCGCCGGGCACCGAGCCCGTGGGCTGGTATCGCACGCAGCTGGGCCTCGACAACCCCGTGGACTATCTATGGCCGGACCAATCCCGAGGTTCGTCTCCGATTTGGGCTTTACCGGTGTTGACTGTTTTGTCCCCTAGATTGGTGTGCGCTCGTCCTGGGCCAGGTTGATATGGCTATATGGGCGATCGCGATATCGCCCAGCAGCATCTCGCCTCAATCTGGGTCAGTGGATGGATTTGCGGCGGCGTCTGTGCGAGCTGATGTGTCGGCAGATGCGTCGTCGCAGCACTCACATCCAGTATGGACTTTACCCTGTGGGTGGCGGGGCGAAACGGACTCAAGGGTGGATGGCTGAAGGTGCTCTGTTTCTTCTGATCAATTTAAATGTTCCTGAAACCTTTCAGATCTGCGACGTGACGCCTCTGCTTTTGGACTATTTCTCGGGCGAGGCGGATGAGAAACTGCGGGCTCTCAAGTCTCAGATCACAAGTGGGTGCTTCGTGGATCCCCGCAATGGAAAACGTCTGATATTCATGCACATTTGAGGTATAAGGTGGTCTTCGCAGACCGATTTTGGTTTAGTCCCATCACCACTGCAAGACGCTTCGCTCCTCATCGCCGGGAATCGAGTGGGCACCCTAATACTCCTGCGGTGCGATAATATTTCACCCAAGTATCTGAAAGCTCACTTTGTTCGCGCTCCAGGTACAACAAAAACAGAGTGGATGTGCTCCAAACTCGCGCGGCAGCAGACAGTTGGATCGTGAACCTGGCCATATCCAACTGGAAGTCTGCGGTGCAAGGCACAAGTGCTTCTCAATCCCGTCTGACATAGAGCAGACGAGCTTATGGTTTTCCAGGTGACGCGCTCCTGGCTTATGCGACGGAAAATGGCGTGGTCGAGCTCCAGAAGGTTCGACAGACTTTGGTGCAACAACTTGGGACGTCATCCTTCGGAAACTCGTTTTCCATCGACGTCATGTTCAACGATGGTACGGTCAATCTTTGTGCACGCGACCATCGACCCTGCACGACACTTGAATGGTTCGATATTGCAGGTATAGTGGGTGGTCTTTCATTTTGTTTAGTACATCATCCTTCAATTTCTTCCAGCCAACGCTGTTTTTCGCCAAGCCAGGTGTTGTATATCTTTGGCGCGAGACCGCGCCCGATCCTGGCAGCTGGAGCGGAATCCGGTCTTTCCTCATACACCGCCCGCCTAAAACCTCAGCAGCACAGTCACCGTTCCATCCCATCGCTGGCGTGCATTACATCCGGCGAAAAGACGCGCTTCTGATCTGCCTGGCCGATGGAACATTTCATGTGCTGCATCACGTGACGGTTGAACCGTCGTGGACGTCTCTGAACGCAGGCGAATCGGTCACGACAGACAAGTTGTGTCGCGCGGCCCGGCTGATTTTTGAGCGGGTCGAGCAGCAGCAGACGAACAAGCAGACGGTGAACCGAATCAGCGGGATGACGTCGCACGACGGGCATGCGACTGTCGCCTGGCTTCACGAGTGAGTGCGCGTGATCTGACGAGGGACGAGATCCGGAGGCCTGAGCGTTTATTCCAGAGCGACGCGACCGGGTGACTACAGCTACAAACATGATGCAAAGCACCAAAGCTTTTTCGTCGTCGCCAAATTGTGGGACGATGACGGCGACAGCGACGACGCGCTGACAACCCAGCTCTCGGAGCTGCTTTATTCTTGCCGAGTTGGTGAGTGGTCACAGACGACGGGTGGGATTTTTATTTATCTCTTTCCAGGCCAAGGACTGTCTCCTGCGTCCCTCCTTCGGCCCATCTTCTTCAATCTCACGAAACGGCGTCTGGAGAGACTGCATTCCCGATTGCTGGACATCATTAAGCCCAATTTCTCCGACCATTCCTCTGGCATCTCGATCCAAGCGTGGGACGGCGAACTCGGGCCGGTGGTACGAGAGGAATTCAAGCAGAGCCTGAAACGGCATTTGTTTGGTTGGAATGATCTGCTGTCGCTCCGTTTGCGGCTGGCAGTCGGCGATTTTGTTTGGGTAGGCCGTTGTTTGCTCTTTGCCGCTTTCTGACATTGACGCCGTGGATTTGTGGAGAAAATGTCGACTTCTGAGGAAAAACAGAGCCAATGTGGATTGGTCGCTCAGACCCTGCTGAACAACATCTCACATCGTGTGCTGCGGACCCTCATCCGGCACATTACTCCCGTCGTCAGTTGTCTCAAATGTTTGTTCCTTTCCTCGTTCTTATGCCGTGATCACTGATAATCCCAACCAAAGCGAGCGACGTTCCGTTTGTGTTGCGTCTCGTCGTCCAGTCATTCCTGCCCGGCTCCCCGCCCGATCTGGTTGCCGAGGGCGAACAACTCTCCGCTGCCATCAAAACCGCTTCGTCAGACTTGGACGTCCTTACGGGACTCAACGAGCGCTGCCCCGCCTGCAAAGCCGATATCCCGCTGCAAGACATCACGTCCGCGCAGTGCCCCAATGGGCATTCCTGGTGTACGTGCTACCACTTCCTTGCTTCTCGTCCAGTTACCCAATGAAAAATTAGTGAGGTGCTCGATCACCACGTTCATACTGGCCACGTCGTTCGTGAGGACGTGTGTCGGGTGCAGCAGAAAGGCGTTCCTGCCGCTCGCGAGTCAGAACGAATACACGTCGCACGGCGGCGCGGGTGCCAATTGGCTGCCAGAAGCGGGCCGCGGATGGGTCGTCGAGGAGATGCTGGAAGCGGTCAATCGGTGCTTGTTTTGTGGGAATAGCTTTGTTAGTTTGCTGTAGATGGGACGGGTTCTTATCAGGACCTACTGCAGCGGTTTGAGATCGGGCAGCCTTGGCATCGATGCTTGTGAAGACGTGAGACAAGATCGCAAGTTACTGCGACCTCCAAGTGCGATATTTCGCATCTTCAGCGACTTCCCTCTGAGGCCCAGCTTTGTTTTGCAACTGGAATGCCCGAATAGTCGTTTGTGACTGCAAATCATCTCGGATCACACAGCCGAGCTGCCTAATCAAGCCTATATCTACGGATATCGCCGAAACCCTCGTCATTGCTGCCCTCCCATCTGCTTTGTACCACCACATTCCATCGACTCCTTTTCCTCCATCTTTTCCATCTTGACGAATCATGTCCTGGCAAAGTCAGCCCGATCTCCATCGCCGACGCGTCGCGCACCTCCTGACCTCCCCCTCCTCCCACAGCATACGTCGACACTAACCTGGTGGGCAGCGGCAAGATCTCCAAGGCCGCGATCGTAGGGCAGCAGGGCGGCGTGTGGGCGACCAGCCCCGGTTTCGAGGCACGTATCCCTCTCTCTCTCCGCGTTTCGCGTGCGATCCTCACCCGCCCGCGCGCAGCTCTCGGCCGAGGAGCAGAAGGCCATCACCGCGGCGCACAACAACACCGACAGCGTGCTCGCGTCCGGCGTGCGGCTCGCGGGCACCAAGTACTTCGCCACGCAGGCGGACGCGCGGAGCATCTACGGAAAGAAGGGGGTGCGTGTCCTCCCACCCCCCTCATTCCTTTGTTTGATCGTGCGGGCTGACTGTCCCTCGTGTCTAGGGCGACGGATGCGTGCTCGTGAAGACGAAGCAGGCGATTCTAGTCACGGAGTACGTGCTGCCGGCCCAGGCTGGAGAGGCTGTGAAAGTTGTCGAGGAATTGGCCGACTACCTGATCGGCGTCGGCTACTAGAGCGCGTTTCGCGATGGAACGATCGCGTTAATGGAGTCCGAGGTGGTGCTTCCCCGTCACAAAGAATAGTCTGTATCTTATCACAACCTGCATCGTCGCTGAATACCGCATTATCGTCTGTCTGAGTCACTTCGTTTTGACTTGCCGCGAATGCAGGAGCCATTTGCTTGCTTGCTTGCTACAGGAAATCCGACCATTTGCCGAGCCCGACTTAGACACAGTGTTCGGGCGATGATGTACCATTCATTAACGTCCGTCCAATCAAGAAGGCCAGTCCTGCATCGTGACAGTCATCGAGAGTCGGCAAACTTTCGCAAAATTAAAACTCGGAAGACGCTGGTAACAAGAACCTGATTCATCAATCGCGAAACATCGATGACGAGCTCCAAAAAACGCCGGCCAGACGAAGGACTGTCGGGCCGGCGCCTGTTGGCCGATCTCCTCGATCGCCGCCTCTCCTTTGCCGAGAAGATCCGCAAGCCTGCCTGCAATTTTCTCGATGCGAGTGCGTTCTGCAGAATGAAATGCACGTTCTTGATGGGAAACGCTCCGTCGGTGTCTCAGGGAGACTGGCTGAAGAGGCATGGCGGCGGCTCAAAGCATCCAGTGTCCCAGGTCGAGCGTCTCGTCTGCACGAACCCCGGGAGAGCGCGTCTTGAGTCTGGATTTTGCTGCAGACGATGCGTATGAGCTTGCACAGCGTCCCGCCCAGGCCGGGAAGATGCTAGTCTTTCGTATCCTGACGTCTTAAAGAAGGATCAGACATCAGTTCAGCTTTGGAAAACGCGTAACGCGCACCGGCGGCGTTGTGTAGTGTTCGCCCTGTGAGGTCGGGAAGAGCAGTCAGGAGGAGAATCCTACTTTTGGACAAGCGGTGCTGGTTAATCGAACGGACGGAGCTGCTTGAAGTAGGGCCGCTTCATCTCTGTGCAGGGTTTGTTGGTCTGGAATGCTGGCCTGATTTATCAACCAGTCTCGCGTATTGCCTGCCGACGTTGCTGAAGCTGGCATACCATTGGAGCATCTGCGTCGAGAGCTCATGTCCCGCCGAAGAAATGGTGGATGAATAAGAGCTCATTCGTTAATTTTCTTCCTCGTCTTGGAACTGGGCGCCATTGAACTCCACAACACTTGCAGTAGCTAGGATTAATCCTACAGTCAAATAGCTACATAATCCAGCGGCTTAATAGACTTACCTTAAGCTCAGATTAATAGCCTACAGGATTATAGGTCAGGATTGTCAAGATCCTCTGATTATGGAAAACATAAATGGACAGGATTATCAATAGAAAAGTGCGAACAAAGATTATTGTAATAAATAGGATTATCAAGGCTTTTATTGTCTCAAAGAGATGCCGAGTTACTAATATTCAGTTGACCGTGATGTTTGCGCTACCACTGGATAAGTATGTACCTTGCCCGATGCATTAGATGGTCCTGTTGTTGGCTCACCCGGACCATGGATCCAGTTGTTGCAGCATGCTATCCTCGGAATAATTCAAATATAGATCCAAGCAGTGACTTCTGGGCGGCACTAGTGGACATGTGATGATTGAACAGCAAAACGCACCGGGTTGCACTATCTGGTTCATTTACCCGGTCTTCATGGGATCCTACACCACCGCTGCTGGGTTGAAGATTGAAAACCGTAAACACTGCCGAACTTGCATCAGGCTATATATATGGAAGAGTGGGCAGGAGAGAGGATGGTGGCAGGAGTAAAGAGTCACTGACTTGGATTCGATGATCACATGATGGGATCATGTCTGAATTCGCTCGCGCTTTGTTTGATGGATCCTCTTTAAAACCAGAGCATTGGTTTCACCGCTACCACTACCTACACCTCTTCAATCTGATTCTCAAAGACTTCCTCACCCTGGACCCAAATGAGTGTTAGCACCTCTTGTCTCTGATTTAGCGACTTTCTGACTCTTGTGATACAATCACCAAGGGACTGCGAAAGACAGTCTGTCAAAGTCGTGCATGGCGATGGTCGAGAATGATGCGACCCTGGATCGAAGTCACACGACGCTGAACCCACGCTGGTGCAGATGGTCAAGGACAACATGCCTTCGTTGGTCCACTTGGTCATCCGGTCGCATCGTCCACTCGAATGCCACCTTCTGAGTTACCAAGGGCCCATATCCCCAATTGCGGCCCAAGCGGAGGATGAGCATGGGGGTCATATTCCTTAAGTTATACACCAATGATATAAATTTTCGACTCTTTTCTGCATAATAATCCTACCATAATCCAAGGCATAATCCCTCAGGTTATTAATCTAAGCTTAAATTGAGTCTAATAGCCTGTGAGATTATGCATCTATTACGCTGCAGGATTAATCCACATCACTGATATGACTGAACTCCAAGAGACTGTGGTTGATTTCCGGATGACGCCCGGTTCCTTGAAAAAAATCTGTCAGAATGTGTAGAGCGAGAGTACCCGCGCAATGGTGCATGACGTTTCTCTCTGTGACGACTAGAAAAAGTGCTTGCAGAATGCCAGTGGGTGAAGCCGCCAATCGTCCCAATCTTCCCTGCGAGATGGATTAGAGGCTGGCCGTCACACTGTCTCCTGGAGCTCCAGAAGTTTGCTGCAGGATCTCAGCAGCTGGAAAGAAATGAACGCTGTGAAGCCAGAGGTGTCGAAGTGCCATCTCATGGGCTGGCATGATCTTGGACCTGGCTGGAGAGTGGTGACAGCATGCTGAGATAACCCCATATCGCAAAAAAGTGGCTGATAGAAAATACCTTCAGCCTCCACTCATATGATATTGCCGATTCCTTGTGGAGTTTCTCTTCAAATATTGAAAAGCACGTCACCCCTTCGCCTGGGATGGCGTTGATATCCTCCGATTTGGATGGAGGATTTGAGCGCGGTGAGCGCGTACCGAGACTGGCCGAATCCTGTGAACATCCGGATTTCTTCGAGCTAGAATCGGACAAACTGGTTAATCTGGACCGTTGACATGGTGCGTCACCGAGGACGCATGTGTTGTCATATTTGGAAGCCATCGTAAGTACTCAAGTACATGCTAGCCGATCTTCAACAACACGGCTGATTGATTGTACAGGTCCTTTCCCTACTGTACAAGGAATACACTTTGAGAGATGGAGAGCAGGTTCTCAGTGGCGTAATGACTTCAGACTCAGCATGGATATATCCACGAATGCGTCGAGTAATGAAGGTACCACGAAGGGATGTTGGCACTCCTTCCTGATATCGTCAACAACAGCTTCGGCGTCGCGCCGCAGCGCTCGTTCAGATTCCAGCTCGGACTCCAGATTTTGTATCCGAGCTTTCGTTTCTGTGAGAAAACAAGTTGCATTGAGCTGAACGGCAGAGCTTTCACTGGGGAGAAGAAACGGACCCCAATCGTCGCTGGCACTGGGCTTGACATCCGCGTCGTCAAAGCCCATCGTGTGGAGGAGAGCCAACAACTCGCGCTCCCTCGCGCTTGCAAGGTTCAACCGCCAGCGCACATCTCGAAGCTGGCGGCGGATGCTCTGGACATCGAGACTCGCCAGGGGCGGGGATGTGGGCATGGGTAATGGTGTCACCACCGGTTTGGGGGGGAGACCGTGCATAGCATGATGATATTCGGACCACCCAGGTGCACTCGGTTCGTTCCACTGAAATGGTTTCCTCTCCTGGAAGGGGGGCCGAAGATCGACTGAATGCTAAGCTCGTTGAGATCCATCACTGAGGCTGGGAACTGCGACTGACATGATGTTGTCGGTCCTCACCCTCGTCATCGTAGCGAGCGCGCTTCAGCTGGAGGAAGACTCATGGGTAAATGAGAAGCGGAAAGAAGAGATGTACATACTGGGCGCCCTTCCGCCTGGACAATCGGAATCGGTGTCTGTCGGAGTCACTTGAGATCAATGGGAAGCACGATCTGTAGCGCAATTTATTCACCGGCATCTGATCTTTCGGGCTCCATCCCGCAGAGCCCAGTGCCAAACGCTACGTAGGATTTCACACTTGAGAACAGAAGTTATCACAGAGGCCGTGCAATTCTCACCTCGTATTCATGAGCTTTGGAGTCCAGGAACGGAGCGAACGGGGCAGCGGGGGTCGGGGATGGTGTGGGCAAGTTCGACTGCGCAACCGTACGAATGAGATCTCACACCTCGCCGTGGATATTCGAAAGACCAGATACCTGGTGCATCCACCCGTCCCTCCCAGATTCCTGGCTCGGACCGGTCGGAATCTTCCCCGCATGAGGTTTACCTGTCTGAACGAGGCTAGCCATAGGGCTCGTGAGAACGCATGGAGGCCAACTGAGATCGAGCATACCGAGCATCCACAACCTCTGGAGCTTCTGCGAGGAAGATTGTAGCACTGCGAACCGTTCAGCGCCCGTCCCAGCCAGTGCCGTGCGCGTACATGGAGCGCTTGTCTCGCATGGACCGCAGGTCATCGTAGTTCTCAGTAGTTTGTTTGAAGCGGCTCTTTAAAGTCTTGTGTATCGCCTGACAAGAGTGACCTCTGCATCAGAATCCAGACACAGGATGCATGTACGGCCGGAGAGCGACTCACCGAGTTGGGTAGGGCAGTCCAGAAGAAGCGGACACGCCCCGGAGAAAGGACTTGGAAGTTCGACCTTTTTGGATGCGGAGCGCCCATGGACGTGAGATCTGCAGCCCGTCATTGACCTGCTCCCTCAGAGTCACCCGGCATGGTGGAAGCGGAGCATGCCTTTGCGCACGACATTCAGGGCTTCGTCGTAGTCCTCGATCTGGGCTTTGGTGCCCTTGTAGTTGATGCTGACCGTCAAGCGGAGGGGTGAGACCATGCAACGGTAGAAGCAAGCAGACGAGGCATAGCCCGAAGGAGTTAGTTTGCATCACAGGTAAAATCAGATTGGCCCATGCAGAGACATTATTGCACAATTACAACACATTACTACTGTAGCAGTACATTAGCGACTCTCGCCGAATCCGATATCTGTAGCCATCCCCTCCTCGCCGACCCTCTCCATCTTCTGTGGCGCTGACCCATCATCCGCGGACTTCATAGCATCTCCTTCATGACCACTGTCAAATGTCCGCTCCACGTCCGGGACATCGCTCAGCCACTCGTGTTGCACTAGATCTCCGGCGCTCATCCGCTTCTCGGGCTCCAGCTGAAGCATAGGGACCAGGAAAGAGGCGATGGCAGCCGCGTCCTCCGGCGGGAAGAGATACTTGTCGTGCAGGACAGATGACAGCGGCCATGGTCGCAGGTTCTGGATGTGGATGAGATTGCCTAGAGAGGAAAGCATGAGCCGCAGTCCACCGGAGTGGAGATAGAGCCGGGACCTTTCGCGTCGAAAAACTCGTTGGACCATCGCCCGGATTTGCGGATGCGTTCGGGAATCTCCCCCATAAGCTCGATGATCTGGGCAAGATGATCATCATCCTTAGTATACCGGGGACGTCCGTTGGCTGCCTTGGGTGCCGCAGCGGGATCAAAGAGGTAATCGCCCCCGGTCATCAGCTCGAACAACTAACGATCTTCAAGCCATGTGGTCGAGCACAAGTTTGGGTTCTGGCTCACCACGCATGCTATGCTCCATATGTCTGCGCTGGTGCCCCACTCCGTCGATCCGAGCAGAACCTCTGGACAGCGATACTGCCTGGTTTGGATGTCGTTTGTGAAGTGGTGATTAGTCCACGTCGCTGCGAAAGTGCAATTAGCCCAACCATTCAGCCCAAGCTAGCCCTGAACGTTCTGCGCACCATTACCCAGGTCCGCGATCTTGACTGTGATCATCTCGTACTCGAACTCGGGGCCGAACTCGGGGCCAACCTCTTCTACCCAGCCTTCGCCCTCTTCCTCGCGCTTGCCCGTTTCGCGGACCTCCTGGCTCTCTTGATGGCGGCCCATTTCTAGGCTCAGCTGTGAGGGCCCGGCGTTGGTGCGAGCCGGCGCCGACTGGGATACAGTCAGCGACGACATGCCCAGGTCCGAGCCGTCCTCGACGCCCGTGCTCTTTTCCTTGCCCTTCCCTTGCTTCGGATCATCATTAGAAATCTTAACCATTCCAAGGCCCCAGGTGTCGCCAGTGAGCTTCACGCGGGAGCCGTTGCTGTTGCCTGGACTCAGTCCTGACATGCTGAGAAAGCTGCCAGTGGGACTGACGCTCGGTAGAGGCTGGCTGCCTGTGATGCTCACGTTGATGTGTAGATGGCGGGCGCCTGGTGTTTGATTTCCACCGCGCCCAGTAGACGGTGGGACACCCACGAGTTTGTGGTGATGGCCGGCGTGCGGTTGTGGATGGGTGGAGAATGAGGGAGGTGAGGTAGATTGTGAGGCAAGCTCGGATTCAATAACAGACTCGACGTCCGGGATGTAGATGAGTACATTCTCGGGCTTCAAGTCTGAGGCATCTCTGAGTAATGAGTCGGAAGGACGTTAAGGCTGCCTCACCTGTGTGGATCACTCCGCAGTATCGATGCATATAATCAAGTCCGGTCAGGACCTGTTTGGCAATCTGCTTGACAATAGCCATTGGAACGCCCTTATTCTATGCGTGCCGCCGTTCGGATGAGAGAATCCAAGGATAACGGGTTGAGCGCACCTGGTGTCTTCTGATCAGGCCCAGCAGACTTTCTCCCAGCACCTCGAACACCATGCAGACATGTGTTCCATTTGGACCTCTATGTCGAAAGTGGTCGAGAAAGGTGATAACGTGCGATCGTCCGGGATGTTTGTTAGGCGACGTGGGATCGGAGGACGTCACTAGGCGTTGGAGCAGCTTGATTTCGTCGACAGCGGTCTCGGTATAACGCGGAGCAGACTTAACGATTTTGAGGGCGACGTGTCGTTTCATTCTGTCACCATCCTCCGTGATCAGCTGTCGCGCGCGCTGCAGCAGTGCACTGTAACAAGCCCACGTACTTCTCGTCCCGCGCGAGCCATACTGTGGAAAAGTGTCCCCACCCTAGTTTGCGTACGACCACATATCGGCTGTCAGCAAAGGTGTCGCCGATGGAGACAGGATGATAGCCGCCGAGTTTGTACTCCTGCCAGTCCTCTTCGTCTTCGGCCATAGGAGAGATGAAGCGAAATGAGAGAAAAAGGCTATCTTTACATTCCTTATCTCTGCCTCCTTTGGAAGCGACATCAAACATCGGACAAAAATGATCCACAAAGCTTGACCTGCCTGTAGTGCACGAGTATCAAGATCCGAGAGGCCTCAGGATGTACGCACTGCGCAGGACAGCCTCGAGCGTCAGGAGTAAGTCGTCTGAAGTGGCTCGAGCCGCCTTTCAATACTTGTTTCTAACTTGTTTGGGCGCAGGCCGGAATTGGCCATTCAATTGGCATCTGATCCGCTCCCCGAACACATGGCAGTGATGTCACATCCTGACTAACATGGCCATCGCTTCAATGGCTTCTGCCCGGTGTGCAACACCTTACAGCTCGTTAATTCTACCGACGCGGCAGAATCGCTTGCGACTGACTCTTCGAGTTTCAGAAGGATCACTCCATCTACTCGGATGAGTTACTCGGCTGTGGCGCCGACCCCGGCAGTGCTTGACAATGTGTCATCTACCTCGAGTCTGTCTGTCGCACTGAAGATTTCATGGAAGAATTACATGGATCTAACTGGCTCCGAACGGCTCGCAAGCTCGACATACACACCTCGCATGTGTGGCAGCGTCCTTTTGTTGCTGAATCGTTCCGAGCATCTGCTCCCCAGTGACTTCTCTCTCGATGACATGGATATCACTTGATGCAAGCGTCCATCGGCTCGCCCAGCCTCTGAGCCCGTCCGGACGGATCTCGCCAGCGCACCTGCCTCGGTTAGCCCTCAATGCCAACTGCTATGTAGCCTGCCTAGGCCCCGCTTCCGAGGACTTCTCTTTCTTCGCCTGGACGATGGCGGCGTCACCGTATCACCGCACTCCAAGCTCTTGACTCCTGCGCGTCAAACATATATGATTCGGGAATCTGTCCTGCTTGTTCATCTGCTCTAGCTTATCTCCAACTCGTTGCATTCTCTGACACCGGTGTAGTCGATTTCTCCACACACACTTCTCCTGCGAGTCTGGTCTAGCGAAAGGGAGCATCATCCACAAGAACGACACGCTCAAACCTGCGTGCGCCAAACTTTCATGTCGGCTCGGAACCAATTATTGCCAACAGTCCGGTCTGAAGAGGGCAAGTGATTCACAATCTCTCCTTCGACGCAATGATTCAGCCAATCAGAAGAATAGGAGATCGCAGAGACATCTTGGCAATAGAAGAGAGCATCGCGAGGCGTGGGTGTCTCCGGCGATTTCTGAATGTCTTGGCCTCGTCGGGATTCAGGATGCTCCGATGCTCTGTCACCTTCTGGAATTATAGGTGGCTCCCACGGCCCATCATCGAGACTGTGACCTGAACTTCAGAAACGCGGTCCTTCCTTCAAGCTTTTTGTGCGCGAGACAAGCTCGTGGATTGCTTAACGCGTGATCTAAATGGTGTTTGTCCGTCGCGGGAAAGGCAATTAGTCTGGCCGTTCTGGTTATCTTTTAGAGATTTTAGCTTGCTGCAAGTGCTTCAGAGCTACCTGTGAAACGGGCGAACGCTTCTTTGGCTTACGGCGCGGCGTCAAATCTCTCGCTCACGGAGGTCCTTTACTAACATCCGATCAAATAAATACCGATGGACAATAAACATCTTGGTGTCTCTGGCATAATGAGTTTCGAAACAGAAGATTTCGGGATGGAGAGCTTCAAATATGTGCGCGTTCTATTTATAGTAGTCACGTGGTCGCGTTCAGCCTACTGGCTCACACGCTCGCTTCATCCTGTGTAATCCGGCCTTTAGATATCAATTGCCTGAGAAACACACCGTGTACAGCTCTGAGACTCGAAGCCCATAGCAGCTGAACAATGCGTACTGTGGCCTGCCAGTCCGCGCTGACCCTGAAAAGTTCGAATCCAGTTGGATACCCCAGGTGAGCGCCATGACCATCTGAGAAGATGGTAATGTTTCACACTCACTACAGCTACCTCGAGATGTTGAAACTTTGAGTGTCCACCGTGACTGTTCGCTCATGAAACAGTGGCGGTGCAGATCAATCAACACAATCGCATCAACCTTCGATCAACTTGCGACTTGCGTTCTCCCATCTGACCGTCCGCGGCGGCACTTCTCTTTCTTTCATCAAGCTTGTACAACAGCTTTCTTCAAGCGAGTTACTCATTTGGGCTCCAAGTGACCGTCATCCCCGGCGAATCTATCCACCTCACACGACCTGATGCATGTCTACTACTACATCTTGGATCAAGCGGAAATCCCGTCTGCACGAGCTTCTCAAATCAAGAGACGAAGACGAGGCGGGCGTTGCTCTTGATCGCATCCTCCATGGGCAGAGTGTGATTGGGAAAACCGGTGCGTTGGGATGGGCTGTGCGGGCTGCCGCGCGGGCTCTGATCGCGTGGAGCAGCCAGGACCGTCGAAATCGATGCTCTGCGGTTTCAGGATGCGGATCTCCAATTCGTTGGGACGCTGGAGCGAGGCCAGTTTGGGCTGGTGTGTATGCGTCGTCTGTGCGTGGTATCCATGCCCATCTTTGGCAGGTCGATGTAGTCAAATGCAACCTCGATGGTCGGACGTACATTCGCAAAACCATCGAGAAACGCTTCGCCTTACGGGCGCGTCAGGTGAAGCGATCGAGTGCCTCCTGAAATCGCTTCTGATCCCGCCCTCTCCGTAGCAATGCTCGCCTCAGGCGGAACGCGACATACTACTACGCGCGCTCAAGTCGGACTCGGTCTGGGCACCGCATCTGCTGTGCGCATTCCAGACCACGACCCACCTCAATCTCGTGATGCAGTACGGGGACGGGGGAAACCTGTGGGATGTGCTCGAGTCGAGTTCGTTGAGCGGGCGCGTGACAGAGGATGATATGGCATGGTGGGCCCCGCAGATTATCAGTGCCGTGCATTGGTGTCACAGCCAGGGATTTGCGCATCGGTATGTCTGGCCGTCCGTGTACTGAGCCCCAAACCCATTATGTCAGGGACATCAAGCCGCACAATTTCGTCCTGACGACCGGCGCGCACCTTCTCCTCATCGACTTTGGGTCTGCTGCGCCGTTGGAGAACGGGCGCCTTGCCAAGAAGCACTGTCTCGTGCCATGCGGCACTTGCGACTACATCTCTCCCGAGATCCTCGAAGCCCACGAGCAGGCCTTGGTTGCGCTTGAGATGGAGGAAGATGACTCGCAAGTCGAAGAGGAGCCCTTCGGTTATGGATTCGAGACTGATTGGTGGAGCGCGGGTGCCATGCTCTATGAGATGTTATACGGTGTCGCCCCGTTCTTTGCCACTGACATCGGCAAGACGTATCTCAGAATCATTCAGCATGAGGTTGGTGTTGTATCCCTAGTCGTACCGTATCCTCAGCCTCTTTCAGAAGAGCCTCCGATTTGATTCCTCCATTCCTGTCTCTGCCGCGTTACAAGACTTGATTCGCCGGTGAGTGGTCACGTCTGTATCAATCTGGGCCTATAGAGAAACCCCAATCCAGATTTTTGACCGATGCTGATCGTCGCTTGGGAAGAAGAGGCGTTCAGGAGATCTATGATCACCCTGCATTCTTCGAGATCAACTGGACTGCTGTTGCCAGTCGTACGCTATTCCCTTTCCTCAGTGAAAGAGGCTAAACATGTCCCAGAAACGGCGCCTCAAGGATTGCATCTTCCGCAATTCACATATGCTGCGGAGCCATCTATTATGATGTCCGAACATGATTCAAGCCACTCCCAAGGATTCGCGTTCTCCGCTCTTTTCCAATCTTCCCCGATGACAGCCTCTGGCTCGGCGGTGCATGCCACCCCCGTGCGAGGTAGTGTCAGCCTACCGCAGGATGACGCCTTCATCGGTTTCTCTTGGGGACCAGCCGAAGACGCATTCCCTGCAGACGTTAATCCTGCCACGGACGTTGACTCTACCCCAAGACCTTTACGTGTGCCATCGACACCACAGCTCAGAGGGCAAACTATCACCCCGTCCTATTACCCGTTCCTCACTCCAATCCGACCAGGATCAGGAACAATACACCAGACCCTCCCTCGCAGCACGTTGAGACGCACTAGCGGACGGCGGTCTGTGTCCGACCGAGAAGCCATGAAGCAGCTGGCCGACTGCATCGGGATGAGCGCGCGGAAGAAGGTGCTCGAGAGCGGCCGCAAGCCGCGCGTGCTGCCCTCGTTTTCTTCGCAGAAGGCCCTGCGATTCCTGCCCGCCGTGACCATCCAGGACTACGCGTCGTCCTCGCAATACCGGGCGAGACCGAGGGTCGCTGTGTCCGGCTCTGGGGAAGAGACGACGGAGGACGAGTCGGACGGACCGCCGAGCCCCAGCCCCACGCCGCGGCCGGGGAGCGCCATGTCCATGATCTCGCGGCGCAGTGCGACGCCTACGCTGACGGGCACGATTTCGCTGCGCAGCGGGGCGAATGCGACGTCGCTCAGCGTCCCCAGGTCGAATAGGTCCGCCACTGTGAGTCAGGACCAGTCCGCGGACGACGCCGATGCGCCGTCGCCGCACGCTGCTGCGATACCGGCGTTCGAGGACATGTCGATTGACGAGCTGGAGGCGAGGTTCGCTGTGCTGATGCAGAATATCATGGGGCTTGAGGACCGGCTGGACCAGGTCTCGCACCAGATAGGGCGCTAGCCGTGTATGAGTACGCAAGTGTGAGTAGGGCAGACACTGTACATTTTTTGATTGCTAATGCTGGGACAGGTACTTTTCGACCATCCATAGCTTAGACCATTAGCTTCTAGTTTAAATTACGGCCTGCAGATACACCGAACTGCAATAAGGATATGAAATCATTCACTGACCGGTCTCCAGATCGTAATATCGAGCAACATGAAGTTTCGATGATATCAAACACGATCAGGTGAATTGGTGCAAGGGGTGTCTGCTGATTGGATTCGGGTTGCCTTCTCTCCATTCTCGAAACTCGGGATGATCGACTGTGTGCTGAGACTCGACCAAAGTCCCGCACTCTCCGCGCTCCCGCCAATGTAGAATCGGGAGTGAGACATTTCTTCCGCGAGATTATAAAAGCCCCCGTTATCAAGGCTGGAAGAGCAGGTCCCTCCGTCTCCTCCTTCTTTGTGTTCTTCCTCCTCTCATTGCCAGTCTCTGCCCTCGATGTGCAGGACGCATGAGCTACGGATGGATGGCACTGGATGCAGGAGGCGGACCCTGTCGACTCCTGGTAAGCTCCATCGTTCTCATCGTGTCGCACAGCGCGCTAATAGCTCCACATGCTCCGTTTGCTCTCAGACGAGCACGCCGGCAGTCGGACGAATGGGGGTCGTTTACCAAACCCCCGTGTCCTTCTGCCTGGCAGTGTCCTCGTCTGCGTTGTGTCTCGCGCTGCGGCGTCTAGTTTCTGGTCGTGGTGTTGTCGATTGGGCGCTACGGCGTTCCTTTGGCTTGGCGTTGCGGTGCTCGTTGCTGATCTGGCGCCTGGGTTCATATAAAAAGGACCCGGCCTGCGGCTCGAGTCTCCGCCCGGCATGTCTCCCGTCATCGGTCGAGCCGCTGAGAAGTCGTTTCCGTGTTTCGACGCGATGAATCCGCTCCGGCGGTGTGTGAGAGCTGGCCTCGAGCATTTCTTGTACCCACCCCCAAGTCAGGGATTCATGAACCCGCTTGGCCCCTCTTGAAAAAGGATCTTCATGGTCCAGCGTCTGGCCTCTCCGTGGCTCAAGAGACTAGTACCCGAAAGGGGAAGCTAACAGACGTGTAGTGTAGAATACATACATCAATGTATATTCAAGATTATCACCGCCTAATGTATCAATAACACTGAGCCTCAATGTCTGATCGGTGCTTCGTACAATAGACGCATAGATTTGGTATATGTGAAAGTATGAGACTGGCGAAGACACTGTCGATAACGGATACAAGAGATGTGTGATATGATACAACGTGAATAGATGGGGGGAGGATAAGTCGATAGAAGTGTATATACTACAAAGTGCATGCTGGAAAGCAAGAAAGGGAGACATTATGCATTGCCGCAATAGTAGAAGCCGAGCCGCGTTTGGGCTGCGACCTTTCTCAAAGCGCGTGAGAATTAGCCTGGGGTGCAATTCACCGCTGCGAAACAACCATCGACATCAGTATGTTTCTTCCCGGACATCAAGCGTGATTTGACCAAGGAACGTTCAGCCTGCAGCACGTACGGATGCCAACCGTCGTTAAGAAGCTCCCATTTCACGAAGCTCGTGAATGACGCGCTGTTGAGTTGAGGAAAGGACACGATAATGTGCCCCACGATGAGCGTCTTCTGCAGCTGAAGGTCCCACAGACAAGCCAAAGACGAGGGAAGGACGAGACTGAGGCTTTGCAGTGTGCGACAAGGCTCCTTGACCATGGCACAAAGATCCAAAACTCTCTGTGAAAGGATTGAGACGTGTCAAAAGGGAAAAATGCAAGCCACTTGCCTCGCGCAGATCAAAACTAGGGTGCTTTGCGTAGTTTTGATGATCGAAGGAGAGGACTAGGCTGGTCAAGCTCGGAAAGCGACTGTGCACTGAGAAAACCGAGTACAAGTGCTCAGGGATTGCGAGTCCTTCCATACACGCAGGTGCCTCGGAACGAAAGAGTGAAGCGAGATCCGTCTCTGTCAGTGCTCGCAACGTGGGGAAAAATCCGATCTCTTCGTCATACAAGTGGCTTTCCTCGCCCAGGAGCGACAACGTGCGCACAGTACCGCGCGATAGGACTTGGAGCAACATGGGAGGCACCGTCAACGCGTCCAGCTGCGGTAAGGTTTCTGAATCGAGTTCCACTCGAGGAGTTTCCGAATGATCGGTCATGATGCTCTGGACGGTCAGAGCATGAAGCGTGGGTGTTTTCTCGAGAAAACGGAGGAGGAGAGGGATGTCAGAAACATCGTGCAGCTCCAAACAACGCAGACGAGAGTAGGAAGATTTCAGGAAGTGCTCCGCATATGGCCAACTATCGGTTCGGAATTCGACGACGTCCTTCAGGCGGATAGCCTCAAGCGGGATATCCTCCCAGGACTCGAATGTCTCGAAAACCTCCAACACATCCAGTCGGAGCGAGTCCAGCCACTGAATCTGCTTGTCCGTCAACACAATCTTGAAGGCGCATGCGCGCAAGGACAGTCGTTTCAGGGTGCCACTCAGAGCAGACAACGTGCGCAGGAGCGCCTTCGTGACGGGCGTCGAGCGGAGAGTGAGCGCGGTGAGACCTGACATGCTGCGCATGGCGCGCCAGTTGCGCTCCAGAAACAAGTGCGCGTAGGGAATCCGCCCGCGGGGTTCTGCCCACCCGTCAAAGACGCATTCCCTCACCCACGACGCGATCATTTTCGCCCACTCGATTTCTGACGCGCTGGACCGCCCGAACGTGTCCATTGCGTCCCTGGGAGGCCGTCTCACGAGCAACGCGCATAGGGCATCCGGATTCATGCCCCTCGTCCTCGTCGTGTGATCTTCGTTGCGGGCCGAGAACCGGACTCGGCGGTATAACGCGGTCAGAGACGCGGCGCAGAAGAAGCGGCAGACGCGCGATAGGTTGACGAAGGTTTGGTTCGATTGGCTTGCATCCAGGGTCCCATAGCCGTCGCGTGGCTCCAAGTACGCGAAGATTTCGAGGTACACTTCATTGGGGATGAGAGACAGGGAACGGTGCCCAGACCGGCGTGCGGGTGCTGGAAGGAGAGTTAGCCCCTGGGTGGCAATCTGGGAGAACACGGCGCGCACTCGACCATTCGATCATGGGCGAGCATTGAACGGGGGATTTACCATCAAGATCAACTTCCAAACTGGGAACGATCTGGAATTCCAATGGTGTCACAGCCACATCGCCTAAATTTTCAGGGTGTTCCCGTGATGATGGAGGCTGAAACGTCGAGCGGAGGGTTCGAAAACAATGAAGGAGCAAAACAATGACCCCTGCCCGGATTGAACGGACGACCTTGTGGAACCACTCACTGGAATCACACATTCTACCACTGAACTAAGGGGTCAATGAAAGCCTGTAAAGTTATATGTATATAAACTTCCAATGCAATCACTGAGACATGAAAGATAAACCTTCCTGTTCAGAGCTATACAAATGTAGCTCCCCTTCTATCTTTTCATGGTTGAATTGAGGTTTGAAGTTGGTGATCAGAAGACTGAAGCCATAGTAGAGTTTATTGTTCAGTGATAAACCCTGTAATGGAATTACATTCTCCAACGACATCATCCCATATACTCACACATGAAGGATTTGTCTTGCTTGGCTCCTACTTGCAAGCAGTATGGATGGAGGTTGCACTGAATATTCAATTTTATCTTTGTCTCCACTTTCCTGTCAAGATGGACCTTGAAGTTGCCCTTACACTGTCTGATCAGTGATATTGACTGTCAAATGGTCTGCCCAGTGCCAATGGATAGTTACATTTTTTTTTGGTTTTGAGCTCAACCCTTCTTGCCAAAATGCAGGAAGGTTACAAAAGGTACGCTGCTGAGATTTGACAGGAGTAGGTCCAGTATGTACCTACAGCCTACTGTTCAGGAAGAGCTCAGGTACAAAAATTTCTTCCAAAGAAAATAGATACATTTGAAAATTGGCTAAGAACACTCAAATGCTTGGAAATACTGGCCAGAGAGAATATAAAATGAGAGCTGGACAGATACAAATCTAGTGTGTTCCTCCTGTGCATGCACATGATCACTTTTGGAGATGAGCATCAAAGAATTCCGCTAGAACTTTGGTGAGCCAAGGTCGGGGCCATAATCTCTTTGACTCACCCAAAGCAAAGGCAGATCTCTTGTAGACTCTTTCGAGAGTGGTGTAGTTGACATATTGTATGCCGAACCTGGTGCGAATTCCATCATTCCATTCCAGATTGTCGAGCATGGCTGCAAGAGCGTGTGAAACATCAGATGAAAAATCAGCTGCAGAACTTACCCCACGCAAAGGCACCGGAGATTGGCACTCCATCTTCATGAATAGACAGCATGATTTCGCCGAGATAGGTCATGTAATAATCTTCAAACAAGCTCAGGCCGAGAGCGCTGAAGGGTGAATATACTCACTGGTTCGTGCTACATCTTCCTGGTATCCGGCAGTCAATCAGCAGGGCAGACAACAGCAAAAAAAAAAAGTCTCGCCGTGATGCGGAACAGATCAGTCCAGGCCCACTCGAAAGGTTCCGACATTCCGAACTCAGATACATACTAGCAGCACGAGTTCAATCACCATCCACATTCACATCTGGTGCAAGCACACACCATCTTCTTGGAAGGCCATCGGGTGTGCAAGCCCTTCAATAGTCCTCGCAGGGTATTTGGAGTAGCCTGCAGCCAGCTCGAACGTGGGTCGGCACTGACACCCACTGCCCAACCCGCATTCGAAGAATCAAACAGCACAACATCGTGGCATTCCGGCCATAGAGGATGCGAGGAGTTTGCGACACACGCATCGATGCCTTCCGCCGGTGCCACTACGTACTGGGAACGGTAGCAGTCAGTGGCGAAAAAGTCAGCCGTCCCTACGAACAGATGTTATTATGCAGACTTGTGCACCAGAGAAAGTTTACCCACCGAGATTGTCTTTGATCTCCTGGGGAGTGAAGCGTGGCAGATAGTCTGGCGGGAGGGTATCCGTGAGGATTTTCGGCCAATCGCCAGTCGTGTAAGCTGGATCAGCAAATGCCCCAATCCGGAACGCAGCGTGACGCTCGACAGCAAGAGCATCTTCTGTCGAGTTCGCTCGCCATGGAACACCACTATGATAAGATTGAGTTCCTTCGCGACTGGATATGTGACAGTGAAGATGCACATGAAGTCGTCACTCTTGAATCCAATCTCTCCACTGATTCCCATTTCCCTGAAAGCTGCATCGAAGTAAGGACTACAAATCGAGTCAAAAGGAGGCAACTCACCTTTCACAGTAGCGGTATGGGCTTTCACTGGAAACAGCAGTCAGTTTATGCAATGCACTGTGACGACTCGTGCTCACTCAAATTATATGTGCAGACGTAAGGGGCCATCGACGCATTGACTCCCGGCGCAAGCAGATTTGCTGAGAGCTATGAGATGCACGCAAAGATCATTTGCATATCACGCACAGAACGGCGGATCAATGAAGAATGCACAGAAAACTCTGAGTGCATATGAGTGTTTGCTCAAAGGATAGGACGGTCGCCGAACCGAGGTTCATTGAAGGTGTACCAGGTCTTGATTCGTCCATTGTAAGCCTTGAAGACAGTCTTCGCATAGCTGACATTTCATGAGTGAGGCTCGAACAACAGCGCATAGACCTACTGGACAAAGTCGTCAACAATCTTTGGAGAAGTGAAACCGCCATAGTGGGCCAAAAGGGCCAACGGAACGTCCCAATGAACTAGGCTCTTGTGTGAGCGCCGCTCCTAATCAAAGGCAAACGAATGCTACATAATGTTGCCACGGGCTCAACGCCCTGCTCCCAATGATAGTCGATCACTGGTCAAGTCAGTAGATGTACAGACGCAGAGAACAGACAACTTACGATCCGAGTAATGCTGCAAGCCTTGCTTGTTCAGCGGGGAGTCAGCTGCACCGAAAGGAAAGATGCGGGCCCACGAGATCCTTGAAGATTTGAGACAAGCAATGAGCCAGACCAATGGACTGACGCACGAGAACGAGTGCGCCGTGATTCCGAGCGCAGCGACGCGAACGACATCCTCTTTGTACAGGAAGTACTGCAAATCAACAATGTCACCTGCCAATCATGAGCACAGCACGCGAGAGCGGAAGCAGCCTACCAGTGGAGTTGTCGAATATACACCCCGGTAGGTGGCCGCACCAATCCCACATCGTGGGCCCCTTTCCTTCGCTTTTCGCGGCGCCTTCAACCTGGAACGCAGCGGTGTCGATGCCGAACTTGAAGCCAGGCGGAAACTTTAGGTGCGGCAAAATGTCCTTGGGAGCCGGAGAAAAGAAGGAAGGGTAGAGCGGCGGCGGCGACGCAGGCAACTGGATCTTGGTGCTCGTCGGAACACGCGTTGTGGTGAATGGAGGAGGCTCGATGGATCCGACCTGTGCACATTTGGATTAGGGCAGACACGCAAGAAAAGCAGAAAGCGCGGACAATATCCCAGAGACGCTCCAGACCCGCAGGAGAATAGTCGCGCGGAATGGATCCCACGGGAGGGGCATTAGCGGTTATCGTGCTCACAGGTGCGGAGATCGTGGATGTGATGTGCGCAGCGCTCGAAGCGGGGATACTGGTTTTGGCGGCGCTCAATGACGCGGTCCATCCTCCAGCTGTAGTCGAAAGAACGAACAAAAGCCAAGCCCTAGAATACATCATGAGCTGTAATCGACCTGGGATTTCAGCGGGTTTACTTAAGGATTGTATGACGGTCTCATGACCGTGCCGCAGTCTGATTTCGAAGACGCAGATGATGCGGCCGCCTCGTGTAAAGCGACACTTGGTACATGAGACAGTGATATGCGAGGTGGACTCCGATGGCGAAGTTGACGGCCAAGAATTTTAGTGCAAGCTGGAAGAAAGATTAGGAGACAGCCGTTTACTTTAATAGCATCTTTGAATCAAGGATGCGCCCCGAATCACCTGTGAAATCTGAAGGTCCAAGTCGAATAGGCTCACTTGCAGTGTTGTAGAGATGCCACTGTGCAGTGCAAGAACAGGCGGCTGAGCGCCGTGATTAGACCCGTATGTCGAAGTTTGATGTTGTTAATGACTCTGATGTGGTCCCGCTGTCATAGGCGACACCACAGATTCTACGTGCTCCCTGGCCTCTCAGTCGAAAGCTATCGAGCACACTAGCCGCGAGAAACTCGGCGCTGAGATATCCGCCCTGTTCATTGGATCCACCCCGCCGTCTATCTGTATCTACGACCCCATCTCTCCTCGCACAAGTGCATACATTGTCGGATTCGTGCTGGCATTGCTCCCTCCCAACCCGACGCGCACGGACGCGTTTTCCCGCGACTGTCTCGCGTATTTGTACGCCCTGGCGCGTTCCGGCCCGCTTGTGCTCTATGACATGGTGTTAGTGTAGAATCAGCTCATGGGGCAGCGTATGGAGAAGGGGGTGCATAAGTGAGTTCGTGGATTTGATTCAGATTACCTTGTCTCCATTCTGAGAACTAAACATGATCGCTCGTGTGCTGAGACTCGACCAAAGTCCCGCACTCTCCGCGCTCCCGCCAATGCAGAACCGGGAGTGAGACATTTCCTTCGCGAGACTTTAGAAGCTCCCGATCTGTTAGCTGGACGAGCAGGCCCCTCCGCCTCCTTCTCTGGGCTCCTTCTCCTCTCATGGCCAGTCACTGCCCTCGTTGTGTAGGACGCATGAGCTCTGGATGGTCGACACTCGATGTAGGAGGCGGACCCTGTCCACACCCTGTAAGTGCCGTTTTGCTCACCGTGTCGCACATAGCACTTACGGGTCCACATACTCCGTTCGCTTCGAGACGAGCACGCCGACAGTCGCACGAATGGGGGTCGTTTACCAAACTCCCGTGTCCTTCTGCTTGGCAGTGTCCTCGTCTGCGTTGGGTGTCGCGCTACGGCGTCTGGTTTCTGGTCGTGGTGTTTGTCGATTGGGCGCTACGGCGTTTCTTCGGCTCGGCGTTGCGGTGCTCGTTGCTGATCTGGCGCCTGGGCTCATGTACAAAGGACCCGGCCTGCGGCTCGAGTCTCCGCCCGGCGTGTCCCCCGTCACCGGTCGAGCCGCTGAGAAGTCGTCTCAGTGTTTCGACGCGATGAATCCGCTCCGGTGGTGTGTGAGAGCTGGTCTCGAGCATTTCTTGTACCCACCCCCAAGTCAGGGATTCATGAACCCGCTTGGCCCCTCTTGAAAAAGGATCTTCATGGTCCAGCGTCTGGCCTCTCCGTGGCTCAAAAGACTAGTACCCGAAAGGGGAAGCTAACAGACGTGTAGTGTAGATTCTAGAATATCTATAAATGCTGAGATGTTCTACAATACAAGTCGTACGCCTGATACAAACGGGGTAGCAGGACCACACCACCAAGCCAAGCAAGCCAACCACCACCGTCACTGCCATCACCATCTCCCTGCCTATTCTTTAAGATATGTAAGTGACATGGGATCAGTGAGCATTGCCGGTCCCCAATTCTTAAGTATCGCACCGGTTCATCCCTTCTGATCCTGAGACAGCACGTGGCTCAGTCCCGTGCCCGCACCTCTAACCTGCGGCAGCGGATCCGCCACAACCGTCGTCGACGCACCCATGGTCGGATTCGCGAGGAGCAAGCGCACGACCGTCGCATCCGGGAGGACGAGCGTCACCTCGTCGTCGGCTTCTTGCGTCTGCGTCTTGTGTTCGTTGCATCCACGGTCTGAACGACCTCGACTGGGGGTCTGTGTGACCGGGCCGCCGTCAGTCGACACGCTCGTAACCACATCCGGGCGCGCGTCGATCGCCAAGTCCGCGCTTCACATTCGGAGGGGCGGGTCGTCGCATTTGAAAGCGATCGTGCGGTGGGGCACGGGAATGGGCGTATCGCACAACGCGCCATGATGGGAGGACGTACAAAATTCCAGACGACAACATGCTAGGGATGTGCACGACGCTGTGCAGGAAAGCCGGATCCACGCCCTGAGCGAGATTGTACAGCACAGTCTGTACGCGATGAGCTTCAGTCTCGCGCGTTTCCAAGTGCGAAACGCGTACCCCGTTCGGTGTGCACAGATCGATCCTAACCGTGTTTATCTCGGAGATCAAGAGGTGCTTTTCACTGTCCTTCCATCTGAGCGTCGCGTTCTTCCCCGGTGCGAGTTGCGAGTTGGCAAAAGGAAATGTCGGGTAGATATATGTAGGCCCGAGCGAAATCGAAAAGTAGAACAGATATTGGAAAATGTAGAGCGGGGTATAAGAGCATCGCTGGGTCCTGCACTAGGCGACGAGATCGGAGAACAAAGACGGGCCAGAGGGGATGAGAAAGGAATAGAGGGATGTGGACTGGCAGCAGAAGGGAAGACACGAGCATCCTTGTGCCCACCCCCGAGTCAGGGATTCACTTGCCTGTCACTGTATATTCAAGCTAATCGGCGAACTGCTGCCAACAAAGCGCATTTCCTTGCCCAATGGTGACAACACACTCATAGGGACTGTGCGGTAGAAATGTGAGTAATGTGGGTGGCACAGTCAATGCATTCAGATCTGGTAAGAACTCCGGATCCAGTTCCATTCAGGGACATTCCGATTCCTTAGTGACGATGCACTGGACGGTCGGAGCACGAAGCTTGAGTGCTCCCCGTGGAAGTGAAGAAGAGGGATGTCAGATCTCGTGCGGCTCCGGATAGCGCAGGCAAGCGTGCGATCGCTTCGGAGAGCCTGGAATTCAACGAGCTCCTTTAGTGGGATGATAGCGAGCGGAATATCCCCTCAAGACCCGAATATCCAGAGAGCCTCCAGCATGTCCAGTCGGAGTCCAGTCACCGATGCTGCGTTCATATTTGAAACAGTCTCGATGCCGCAGCATGCTCGCATGGACTATCTTGTTAAGGGACCACTTGACTCAAGGAGCGTCTTCGTGATGGGTCTCGAGCGGAGAGTGATTCTAGTGAGACCCGGCATGTTGCTCATAGCGCCCAAGTTGTGATTTGGAAACAAGTGTGCGAGGGAGATTTGACTCCAATGCACGTATGCGCATCTTCTTTCAAAGATCGTCTCACCGATAACGTGCACAAAGCATCAGGGTCATGCCCTACGTCGTTGCTGGTCCTTCGCTCTGTGCCGAGATACAGACTGGGCAGTATAGTGCGGGCAGATTCGGCGATACGGTGCGATCATAGACGCGATATTCATAAGTAGAGGAAGCGGTACACGTTCGAGAGATTGAGAAGAAAGTGATTGAGTGTGGGGCCGTCCCCAGTCTCGTTGTCGTCACGGGGATCCAACTTGTACGTGAAGACTTCCGGACTCACTTTTCCAGGAATGAGGATGAGGGAACGGTCCTTAGAGCTGCGTGGGAGTGCTGGAAAGAAACAAAGCGAGCCTCGAAGTGGCGACGGGGGACATGGCGCGCACTCGACCGTTCAATCACGGACACTCCGAGTAAGTAGTTGCTTGCCACGATGATCCAGTGTGCCAGATCCGGAAATGATAGTTCCTCATCGGGCGGCATTGGTGATCTACTGGCCCAAGTGCCTAAGCCGTTTGACTTGTATCGCGGTTCTCAAGCCAGACCTAGAGATGGAAAATTCCAAAGGAAATAAACGGAAAACGTGAGCCCTACCCGAGTTGAACGGGTGACCTTTTGGAAGTGAGAACGGAGATCACACATTCTACGATTACATACGTACAGTAGTAGCAGCAGCACACAGGCCCTCGATGAGGAATGCGATTCAATCATTCCGAGTTGCAACAGGGCCCAACGAGAGGCCACATCTTTCTGGGTCCCAATGGGCCGCTGCACTGGTTGTGGTACCGCCCGCACACAAACCGTGGGATAGGTTAGGTCATCGAACCCCGATGTAATTCAGCATCTATGATGTCGAATCCACAACCTTCTTACAACCGTCATGCCAATGGGTCGGGTGGTCATTACAAGTCGGGTGACTGCTGACGCCACCTACACGCTCGCACTGGAGGCATCCTCGGTCATTCGCTTGGCGTTCCGCGTCTTGCCCGCAGATCAGCGTCTTTTGTCCAGACTCGTTGTCTCCCCCAGACACGAGGCGGCTTCATGATAATCCACTCTTCGAAATCAAAGCACGACACGGTCATGAGACACTCCTGCACTCCATAAGTAACCGCTCTGGAGTGCGATCTTGGGTCACAGCCCTCGATGCATTCGAAAGCTTGGGTTTTCCTCGTTGTTTCCAGTGCGGTGGGAGCGCGGAGCGCGTCCCTGAGCGCTGCGAAAACTAGCGTCCCCGTCTCGAGCGTTACCCCCGCCGCACCCACGCTTTCCGCGCCAGTCAGCACCATTACCGCCAATGCCCCTCCCGTGGGATCCATCCCGCGTGACTTCTCTCCCGCGGGTCTGGAGCGTCTGTGGGATATTGTCCGCGCTTTCTGCTTTCTCGTGTGTATGCTCTGACCTAAACGCGTCCAGGTCGGACCTGTCGAGCCTCCCCCGTTCACCACAACGCGTGTTCCGACGAGCACCAAGATCCAGTTGCCTGCATCACCGCCGCCGCTCTACCCTTCCTTCTTCGCTCCGGCTCCGAAGGACATACTTCCGAACCTCAAGTTTCCGCCTGGTTTCAAGTTTGGCATCGACACCGCTGCGTTCCAGGTCGAAGGCGCCACGAAAAGCGAAGGAAAGGGGCCCACGATGTGGGACTGGTGCACTCACCAACCGGGATGCACGGTCGATAACTCCACTGGTAGGCTGTCTCATTCGCTCTTGCGTGCTGTGCTTATGGCTGGTAGGCGATGTTGTCGACCTACAGTACTTTTTGTACAAGGAGGATGTCGTTCGCGTCGCTGCTCTTGGCATCAAGGCACACTCGTTCTCGTGTGTTGGCTATTCCTTGCATTTGAACGCTGAACTCACGGACTCCAGGATCTCATGGGCTCGCATCTTCCCTTTCGGTACGGCGGACTCTCCGCTCAACCACCAAGGCTTGCAGCATTACTCGGATTGTGAGTTGTCTGTTCTCTGCGTCCGTAGATATACTAACTGGCTCAGTGATCGACTACCATCTTGAGCAGGGCGTTGAGCCCGTGGCAACATTATGTAGCGTGTTTTTGCCTTCGAGTATCAGTCGCGCTTATGCCAGAGTCCAGTCCATTGGGATACTCCGTTGGCCCTTTTGGCGTACTATGGCGGTTTCACTTCCCCGAAGATCGTTGACGACTTCGTCAAGTAAGTCTATGTTCTACTTTTCGAGCTTCACTCATGAGGTGACAGCTATGCCAAGACCGTATTCAAAGCTTACAATGGACGGGTCAAGACTTGGTACACGTTCAATGAACCTCGGTTCGGCTTCTGCGCTCTCATTACAACAGACATACTGATACACACCCCAGAGTTTTCTGCGGATCGCTGAACGGATCGCCTTTCTGCATGTGATGTTCTATAGGCCATTGTCCTTATCTCATAGTTCACAGCATCGCTGCTCGCGCCGGGAGTCAATGCGTCGATGGCCCCCTACGTCTGCGCCTATCATTTGAGTGAGCACGAGTCGTAACAGTGCATCTACTAGAACTGACTTCTGTTTCTAGTGAAGGCTCATACCGCTGCTGTCAAAGGCGAGGCGCCTCCTTCAACTCGAGTCCTAGTGCTTATTTCGATGCAGCTTTCAGGCAGATGGGAATCAGCGGAGAGATTGCTTTCAAGAGTGACGACTTCCTGTGCGTCTTCACTGTCACATATCCATCCGCGAAAAGGCTTAATCTCAGCACAGCGGTATTCCATGGAGATCCAACTCGACAGAAGATGCTCTCGCTGTTGAGCGTCACACCGCGTTCCGCCTCGGCGTCTTTGCTGATCCAGTGTACACGACTGGTGACTGGCCGCAAATCATGAAGGACACCCTCCCACCTGAGTATCTGCCACGTTTCACTCCCCAGGAAATCAAAGATAATCTCGGTGGGTGAACTTCCTCTGGTGCATGAGTCTGCATTAACACTCGGAACTAGGAACGGCGGACTTCTTCGCCATCGACGCCTACCGTGTCCAGTACATCGTGTCTCCGTCGGTTGGTATCGACGCGTGTGTCGCAAACACCTCGCATCCACTGTGGCCTGAATGCAATGACGTGATGCTCTTCGATTCTTCAAATGCGGGTTGGGCGGCTGGCATCAGTGCCGATGCGCGTTCGACCTGGCTGCAGGCTACGCCGAATGCCCTGCGAACATTCCTGAAGGGCTTGCACACCCGTTGGCCTACGAAGAAGATGGTGAGTGCTCGAACCAGATGATGATGCATCCAGCCGCTTGACCGAACTGCTAGTACGTCTCTGAATTCGGATTGACGGAACCGTTCGAGTGGGCCTGGACCGATCTGTTCCGCATCACGGTGAGACCGATTTTTTTGCTGCTGTCTGCCCTGCTGACTGACTGCTGGATGACAGGAAGATGTAGCACGAACCAGTGAGCATATCCATCCTCTCATACTCTCGCCCTAAGATTGTTCGAAGATTACTTCATGACCTATCTGGGCCAAATCATGCTGTCGATTCACGAGGACGGCGTGCCGATCGCTGGTATCTTTGCGTGGGGTGAGTTGTACAGCTATCTCCTTGTCTAATGCTTCACGCGCTCTTGCAGCTATGCTTGACAATCTGGAATGGAATGATGGCATTCGCACCAAGTTCGGCATCCAATACGTCAACTACACCACTCTCGAAAGAGTCTACAAGAGATCCGCCTTTGCTTTGTGTGAGTTTAATGGTTTACGGATATCAACCTTGCCTGATCAAGATGCCAGCGGAATTCTTTAGTACTCATCTCCAAAATTGAATATCAATATATGCCTACGTAGACAGAATCGAATTTAACTGGATTTGAGTCTGGCTAATTCTCGTTGCACATTCTCTCTGGCCAGTGTCTCCAAGTGCTGTGTGTTGTTACCCAAGTAGATCTGCTTTTTTTGGAGGAAACTCTCGAGTATCTCCGTCCTGCCCTGGTTGTAAGCCTCAGCAGGAAAATGGATGAACTCCTGCCGAATCTCTGCAGCATATTTGTCGTATACTTCTGCGCTTTCGGCGAGGATGGCCATGTCCAGGTCCATGAACAATGCGAACGTCTCCGTAGGTAAGCCCTCCGGCAGGGTCTGGGGGATGCTGTGAACGATCGTCCCCTCGATGAGCGCTGAGACGGGTTGCTTCAAGTTCATCTGTTTGGATCCCAATCAGCCGGGTCGCTCGGTATCACTCGAAGGACAAGGATGCCGCTTGCCAATTGGGTCGAACCGGTCGAGTCAACGAAGGCCTCCCACACGCGAATGCTCTCCTGTTCGTTCCAGGGGCTGCCCCGCTCGGGGTCGTACACACAGTCGTGAAACCAGATGGCCAGCTCGACCATCAGCAAAGGTGCTCGTCCTTCCAAGTGTGAGTCAAGCGAGCTGAACATGTGTGACAGATGGTCCAGGGTGTGGTAGTGACGCTGAGATTCGGCGTATCGAGTCTGGAGGTCTACAGCCATGCGGCTCAATATTTCAAAGTCAATTGAAGGGTCAATGGCTTGGACGGTCTGGATGAAACGGGCTGCAGTGGCCATTTGAGAGATGGATGGTCAGATGTGAGTCCTCGAGTCCTCTTAGCCTGTCTACGTGCTTCGACTCGGAGATTAGATTCGCTATCAATGATACAATCAACAATTCCGTTGTCAACATCGGCGGCATACACACAAATTCCACTCCTCTGACTCCATGTCGATGGCGCTCGAGCACCCTGGCTACGAGAAACTGGAGAATGAGATATCAGCCCTATTTCTTGGACCCGCTCCGCCGTTCATCTTCGTCCACGACCCCGTCTCTGTCCGCACGACGGCACACGTCGTCACATCCGTCCTCGCGTCACTCGCTCCCAAATCGACGCGCACGGACGCGTTTTCGCGCGTCTCTCTCGCGCATCTGAATGCAGTCGCGTGTCTCAGCCCTCGCGTGCTCTACGACACGGTGTTGAATCAGCTCGCGGGGTGGCAGGCGTCGTGGAACAATGGGGCCAGCGTTTGGAGGGGTCAGAATGGCGAGCAGAGGTGGAATGAGAATCTCGATGAATTCCTGCACGGGCTTCAGGATTTGGGTGGACGTGAGGGCCTCGGAAAGGAGAAGGGGAAAGAGAAAGAGCATGAGGTCACTCACATGGCAATCGTGATCGAGCGCGCTGAGCGACTGAGAGACCAGCTCCCTGAATTGGTCGTTCCTCTGACGAGATTGGCAGAAATGGTACGTCATTTCTCTGAATGTGACCACATCTAAACCTGCGCAGGCACGAGTCCCTCTGAGCGTCATCTTTATCTCGGAAGTGCCCTGGCAAGATTTGCGGCCTCCATTCGGTGCATCTCCCGACCCATACTACGTGGATGTGGCGCCGCTTGCCAAAGAAGGTCCGTTTCCTTCAACCCCAAGCCTTCTTAGGCTAAGCATCTAATAGATATCTCGCGACGCTTGAATACACTTTTTCGTACTATTGCCTCAAGCGTGCCCAAATCCGACCTCTCCAATCCGTATAATCCCACACTCCAATCGCTCTACGCGCATTTTGTGTCCGTGCTTCTGGATAGCTGCACGTTATATGTCCAGAATCCCGACGAGCTGCAATATATCGCTGCTGCGCGTTGGCCCGGTTTTGTGCAACCCGTCTTGGATGCGAATAACAGGGCAGGCGATCCAGAAGATGCGGATCTAGACGCAGAGTCGCTGACGATGACACCCCCCAACGAGGGCGAACGGATGCGGCTCATACGCCTATTCAAGCCGACATTCAAGACTGCGCTGGAGAAGCTTTACCCGAGGCTAAATCACGCGGCAAATTGGGCCCGGTCGAATGCCCCACCGCATGATTTGCTTTCGAAACCCGTGCGCGAGACGCAGCCGTTCGGAGACGGAGCTGAGCCTGCCGGCGATGCTATGGATAAGCGCATTCTGGACCTAGCTCGGATGTCCAAATTCATCCTCGTCGCTGCATATCTGGCATCGACTAATCCGCCCAACTCGGACGTCCGAATGTTCGGGAGAGGTCTCGATGAGAAGAAACGCAAGCGGAGGACGGTTCGAGTGACCAAGGCTGGAACCACGAAGGTTGATCATGGTAATCTTGTGCTTCTTGGATGCTGATACATTGACAGGCGCCTCAGCGAGTTCTAGGGCCCAATCCAGTCCCGCTGGACAGGTTGTTGGCCATTCTAGGGATAATTCTGGAGGAGAACGACGCAGACAATCGTCTGGACTCAGACGAATACCCGATTCCGGGAGAGTATACTGACATGGAGCTGGCTCGGGTTGGAACAAATGCACTGGTCAGTCTTCCTATCCACACACAAACAGTTCGACACCTGAAACCGATCTAGATATTGGAACTGAGCAGCATCGGCTTGTTACACCGCACTTCTGCAGCAGATCGCCTCGACGGCCCACCGACGTTTAGATGCGGAATCTCTTATGCTACAGCCTCGATACTGGCGAAAGAGCTCGACGTTGCGTTGGATGATCTGCTATGGGACCCGGCCTAATCTATCCACTCGATTTCATACGAGCATCAACGTCAGAGGCCAGAGGGATGCTCGCCATTGCACCCGGCTTTTCCACACACATTCCCGCGGCCTGGAAGCATATCAGCGACAGGCCAAAACTTTTTTCCTGCTTTGAAACACACCTGTGTCGCTCGCCGGAGGACCGCGACGTAGTCATCCGTTTGTCCAACCGACAGATCCATCAACCCAGCCACAAGATAGCCAGTGAAGCAGTCGCCGGCACCCGTCGTATCGCGATTTGATCCTAGTAGCTTGGCGGCGGGCACGTAGACCGGGTCTTCCTCGCCCAGTCTTGCGAGCAGCCCATCACCGCCGAGGGTGCAGACGATCTTTGTTTTCGGTGTGTGCTTCGCCAGCAGATGGAGCAATACTCGAGCACAATCCACTGCGGCACTCGGCAGCGCGGGTGGGATGGCCAAGCCGAGTGCGACACAGATCTCTCGCATCTCGCCGTTGTTCACTACGAGCCACGTCAGGTCGTTCCACGGGAAGTGAAGGAGCTCTTCGGCTGAGGGCATCGGCGATGGGTTGAAGACAGAGGCGATGTTCCTGGCTGATGCAATGGAGAGATAGTCGAGGGTATCCTTGAGAGGGATCTCGTTCTGCAGAACGAGATGTGTGGTATCTGGGTGGATCGTGTGCGATGGCAGGGTCGAATCGTTTGCGCCTTTGAACAGAACTAATCCGAGTGAGCAGCGATCGGTGTGCACCGGGTTTTGATCTACTTATGCTGTTCTCTCCGCTCTGCGACACTTGGATGATCGCGCGTCCGGTGCTTTCCTGCGCGAATTTGAGACTAGATCGGACGCAGAAAATGAGACCAGGTGCACTTGCACGACCGCCACGCTCTCCGTGTTCACGCCCGATGCCGTGAGCTCGTCCCTGACCCATGTCCCATCATGCCCGACCGCGCTCACGAGGTCCACGAGCCCGCCGGCGCGTGCGATAGCGGCGGCTTGGTTAGCGCCCTTGCCGCCAGGCCGTCTGACGAGATTCGTGGACGAGATTGTTTGGCCTGGGGAGACGATATCGTCGACTGGGGGAGCGATCTTCAGTCAGCGCGATCGGGAACGCGTTCCAGGAACACCCCTTGCCTTGGAAGAATTCGTCCACATCTAGAGGTACAGTCCTCGGGATCGCGTCAGTTGTCGATGGGATGTGACGGTGGGGACGTACTGATAGATCCCCGTACGAGACACCGCGAGGCCATGAGAGAGAGGATGGTCGAAAGTTGGGAGTTGGGAAATTTTATTTGGTCGATCGCAGCGGTCAAATAGGAACGGGAGGGATGAAAGTTCTGTCCATCGTTCTGCCTGTAACCTCACACCCATTCGCATTATACAGTATTTTCCGGAATATCCGTAGAACATGTCCTCCAGCATTCAGTCGTTGAGAGCAGGTCCCCACCTTTGCTTCAAGAAAGCTTGATGATCGGACATCGGGACGCCCGGCCCGTGTCCAGACCGTTGCTGCTTCTCGTATTCGTTCAGCAGGTGCGGGGCACGGCGTTCCTCTCCCCACGTCAATGATGATCCTATCGCCACCCAATCTGAATCTCTTTCTCCATGACACTCTCCATTCCTCTTGCCGCCAAGCTCAGAGCCAACGCGAGGGCTGCTGGAGCGTGGCTCACCCTGCCCAGGTGAGAGGGCGAGAGGCTCCGGCTCCGCGGCAAGCCCTGTCGGGCAGCATCGAACTCACGCTGACATCGCAGCTCCGCAATTGCTCGCACCATCGCGCAGACTGAGGGAATCTCCTGGGTCCTGATAGACGCGGGTAATTATCCTTTTGCGCCCTTCTAGCTCCGTTCAATGCTCAGCCTCTTGATTGTCCAGAGCACGGTCTGATCACCGGTACACCCTATCCTGGTCGCGCTTGGACTGGCGGCTGACTCCCCTGCGCCAGACTCCAACTATTATGACCTCGCGAATACAGTGGCTTCCTCCGGGGCGTCGCCTCTGATACGGGTGCCCGCAGACGAACCCTGGATGATCAAGGTGCGGTTGTCACCCCCAATCTATTCCGGTCTGAACGAGGGGCCCTCAGCGCGCGCTGGACGCAGGTGCCCATGGGATCATGATTCCCATGGCCAACACCCCGGTGGGTCCCCCTCCCCAACTCTCTCCAGGGCCACCCCGGAAAGACTGAACGACGTTCCCCCCGTGTGTGCAGGAGATCGTCCGCCGCGTCGTGTCCGCGACCAAGTATCCGCCGGTGGGGATCCGGGGCTTTGGCCCAATGTTCACACACGCCGCCGGAGCGCTCGGCGGACCGTACAAAGCAGCCGCCAACGAGGCGATGCTGATCGCCGTGCAGATCGAGCACCCAGATGCGATTGAGCAGATAGACGCGATCTGCGCCGAGGGGATTGACATTGCATTTGTATGTATTACTTACTTGTGCGACCCTCTTTTTGGACGAGAGACTCACGGTGTACCTTCTACTCCCAGATCGGCCCCTTTGATCTCGCGACGTCCATGAACGTCGAGTTTGGAGGCGAGGAACACGAAGCGGCGATGGCCAAAGTCGTGACTGCCTGCAAGAAGGCGGGCAAAGTGGCTGCCATATTCTGTATGCCATCTGCCGCCTCGCTTTCCCATGTGCCAGTGACCAATCCTTCCCAGGCTTGAACGGAGACCAAGCGGAGAAGCGCTTCGAGCAAGGGTTCCAGATGGTCAGCGTCACAACTGATATCGACACGCTCGTGGCGGGCTTCGCTACCGAGCTGGCAAAGGTGAACGGAAACGCGAAGTCCGCTGCAGCCGGTGGATATGGATACTGAAAGTATTAGACGTTGAAGAAGAATGTATGTAACTTGTAACCGTGACGGCAGATGACCGGTCTGCCTTCGAACGCAATGTCACCAGGCCGTCTGGCTGACCTGTGCCGGGCCGTGCACGACTTCTACGAACTTCAAAAAGTGCTTCGGCTGCCCGCGATGCTATCATAAGCCGATGATCCTCCTTCAAGTTGTTGCCACTGCTTTCTTTTCGCTAGCCATCAGCGCTGCAGCTGAGATCGACCGCCATGGCCTGGTGACGCGATACAACCCGCGGCGGAACGCGTCCAGCTCGAGCACGCCCATGCAGGTCGGGAACGGCAATTTCGCGTTCGGCGCGGACGTGACAGGCCTGCAAACGCTGCAGCCGTGGGCGATCATGTCGAGCTGGGGCTGGAAGAACGACACACTGCCGGCGAACAAGACCGTCGAGGACGTCGCGGACTACAGCGGCGTCAGCTTGGACAACCACGGCCGGCTTGTCGAGTATATGTTCAACGGCCCCGCCCCGCTGCAGCAGTGGATGATCGCGAACCCCAACCGCGTCAATCTCGGCAACATCGGGCTCGTGTTCTTTGGGTCCGACGGAGCGAGACTGAATGTCACTGAGGCTGACTTGAGCGGTGTAGACCAGGTCTTGGATATCTGGACCGGCACTCTTACGAGCCGTATCACTTTCAATGGGTCCGATGTTACTGTTACGACCGTCTGTGGGCAAGAGGATGATACTATCGGAGTTAAAGTACTGTCTCCTCTGCTAGATTCCGGTCTTTTGGGAGTATTCATGGATTTCCCTTGGAACGACGGAGTGAGAGGTTGATGCTTCAACCGATCAAACTGTATCTAACCCTACCACAGTCAGCGAAGTTCTCCGCTCCATTCGTGGGGTCATGGACCAATGCGAATTTACATACCACTCAGCTACTCGTACATGGCTCGACCTCGGCGTCGATATCACACACGATTGGAAACTCGACCTTCTCAACCTCAATAGGGGCCGGGAATGCCATCAATATTACTCGCGACTCGCCGAATGCTCACCGATACACCCTTCGTCCGGTCGCAAGAGGGAAAGAATTCACTTTATCTACGACATGGGGCACGTCTACGCCGCAGAAGACTCCAGCGCCGTTCGAATCTATTCGACAGTCCTCGAATCGCGCCTGGCAGGATTTTTGGTTGAACTCCGGATTTGTGGATGTCTTGACAGGCTCGAGCGATGCGAGAGCCGACGAGCTGCAGAGGAGGATAATCTTGTCGAGGTATTTGATGAGAGTCAATGAAGCGGGGGACTTTCCGCCGCAGGAGGTGCGTTGCCGATTTTCTGAATGAGACGAAGAGACCAAGGCGTACAGTCTGGGCTTGTGAACAATGGTTGGGTGAGTGGAATTTCCTGTCTCGGAAGACCTTATCTCCCATCTTTTTATCCAGTACGGGTGGGTGCATTTGAGCTTTGAGAAGACGCGTAGACTCACTCGCATAGGAAATTCCACCTCGAAATGTATTTCTGGCATTGTCAACATTGGGCGTTGTGGAACAACTGGGACTTGCTTCTTCGCTCGAGCTCGATTTACGAACGCTTTCTCCCAACCGCGATCGCGAGGGCTCAAGTTCAGCAGGGCTGGCCGACCGGGGCGCGGTGGGGGAAGATGAGCGATCCACCAGGTCTGTGCTCATTAAGCCACTCCAGACCAGTCATCTTCATTGATGATTGTATCTCAAGGCCGTTCTGCGCCTGGGCAGATCAACGAGCTGCTCATCTGGCAGCAGCCCCACCCGCTGATCTTCGCTAACTACGAATACCGCGCGTTCCCCAGCGCAGCCACACTGGCAAAATGGGAGCCCGTCGTCCGCGCCACCGCCGACTGGATGGCCGCATTCGCATGGTTCAACCAGTCGACGGGGGTCTACGACCTCGGTCCGCCGATGTACCAGGTCGCCGAGGACAACATCTACAACAACACGTACAACCCCTCCTTCGAGCTGGCCTACTGGCGCCTGGGCTTGGGCTTCGCCGAAGAATGGATGCAGCGCTTGAACCAACCGGTACCGAGCCACTGGACTACCGTTAAAAACGGGCTGGCTGGGCTGCCGGTGGGGAGTAATGGCCTGTACAAGGTCTTCGAGGACGTGGAAGATGGATTCTGGACAGATCCCAAATACACTAAGGACCATCCCGCGCTGGTGGGGCTGCACGGATGGCTCCCGCTGACGGCTGGCGTGGATGCCAATATCTCCAAGCTGACGACACAGAAGGTCTGGACGACCTGGAATGTGTCCAACCTCTGGGGGTCAGTCCCACTTGCTGGCCTCGAAACGAGTCTCATGCGATTTTCGCACAGCTGGGATTTCCCGATGCTCGCCATGTCGGCTGCGCGCATCGGAGAGCAGGAGCAAGCGGTCGACTGGCTGCTTCATCCTGATTTCCAGTTCGACGATGTTGGGATGCCGGTGGGAGGAGTCCGGTGCGTGCTCGCCATTCAGGTCGCTGCTTTGATTGTGCCTGACGTATCTATGTATTTGTCTGCTTAATTTCCAGGGTTCCGACCCCGTATTTTCCGGGGGCAGGTTCTCTTCTCTATGCGACTGCCATGATGGCCGGAGGTTGGGATGGAAGCAATGGAACTGCGCCCGGGTTTCCTGGAGCTGGATGGAATGTCCGGGCCGAAGGTCTGAGTAGGGCCATCTAAGAGACACAAAGTTAACCTTGTGCTGCATACAAGTTGATCTGTTCCTCCTTCGATAGACCCATTCGGCCTCTCCAGAACTGTGGCAAAAGCGGAGGCTGTGTAGGACTAGACGGTCGCCGGTCCGTTTTCAGGATGTCGTCGAGCACCGCTGGCACATCTTGGGGTGTGAGATTTCCCAGCCTGAGCACACACATCGATCAATCAATGGGTGATCAGGGCTCTGGAAGAACTTGCCATTCGCCGTGAGGGAATACCAAGATGTTGGCGGCATGTTTGTGGCCGCCGACGTGGGCCACCTCTCCCAGCACGACGTGTTTGGCCAGGTCGTTCGGATCGAGGCGGACGCGTCGGTCCGTTTCCTCCCGCAGCGCACGGAGAACACCCCCTCCGATGTCGCCACAGCGGCAATCCCGCGCTCCGTGGGTGCAAACGTACAGATGCAGTTCGTCGTCACGTGCCGCAGGCACCTGGGGTGTCAGTGCGTGTTCTCGCAGTTGCTCTGAGACTTTGTCGACGTCCGACAACGGCACAGTCGAGATTTCCAGCCGGCCGCCCAGTGTAGAGAAGGCGGTCAGAGATGGGGCCTCTTCGTTCACAGATTGATTTGGCGCTGGTCTCCAGGTGAAATTGACGATGCCGCCCCAGCGACCGACTTGGAGCTGCAGCGCTCGCTGTAGGGGCGTAGAGTGCCGAGCATCAAAGGAAGACGGTGGATGCGGAGAGTGGAGTAGGATGTACGACTGGTGCGAGATGACTGTGCCGAAGAGCTCTGGGGGCGCTTTGGAGGAAAGCGCGCGAGAAGACCGCAATCTCACAGTGCGCCCCGAGGGAAAACAGTCGCGGATGGCGCGGGTGAGATGGCGCGTCGTCATGCAGTCCCTTCCCGCTTTCCAAGTCGGAGTCCAAGTTCAAGTGGTGGTTCTTGTCATATTGCACTCGAGAAATGGATAAATATAGCCGCTCACGTGCTCAAGGCTGCGACTGTTCTCTCGGAACCATCTTCGCCAGTTGTAAATACGAGATCTCGGTCGGCTGAATATCTTTTGCTACATTAATCCGACGACGCGATCGTGAATGTCGGTCAAGCCACCGAGAAAGCTGCTTATCCTCGATCTCAATGGAACTCTTGTCTTGCGCTCCAAATACGGCCGGGGCACCGTCCAAGGCAATGTGCGCATGCGCGCGGTGCACCCCCGCCCCTACCTGGCGTCTTTCGGGCAATACCTATTCCACCCACTGACGATGGAGTGGCTCGACTCCATGGCCTGGAGCTCCGCGCAGCCCCCCAGTGTCGCGGACATGATCAGCAAGTGCTTCAGCGCCGAGCAGCGGGAGAAACTCCTCGCGATCTGGGCCCGGGACAAGCTGGGTCTCCCGCCGCATCTATACCGTGCGCTCCACCGTGCCGAGTGAGCCGTTTGTTGCACTCACCCTCGTGTGTCTAGGGCAGAAAACACAGACCACGAAGGACCTGGCGAAACCCTGGGCCGAGTTCCCGATCCATTCAAAGCGCACGACGCTGCTGCTCGACGACTCCGCGCTGAAGGCGCATCTGCAGCCCGACAACCACGTCTGTGTCCCCGAGTACACGTCCGGGACGAGGCGGCGCGACCTCGACACCGCGGAGCGCGCGCAGAAAGCCGAGTCAAGCACGAAACCTAACGCGAAGGCCAAAAAAAGCAAGACGCGGCAGCCGGTCCTGTTCGCGCCTGATCCTGCGTTCGTGAAAGCAGCGCCGCATGCGCCAGCGATGGCGGGACCCCCGGCGGATGGAGACGAGCCGAGATACGACGAGACGTTGCTGGCCGTGGTCGGTATCCTGCAGACGCTCAAGACGGAGCCGGACGTCTCGCAATGGATTGCCAACGGCGGCCTACTAAGAAACCAAGACGGTGTAACCGCGGCCCCGAAGGACGACTCGGTAGACCCACTCGTAGAAGAAATCGGTGCGCTTTCGCTGACCCCCAAACTGTGGTTTGAGAGTGCGCCGACGGTGGACTACTGGGTGAAGCAGGGACGCCACGCGTTGGGGGTGCTTGGGATCGACGAGGTCGCGGGCATTCATTCAACTTAGACGACACGCGACTGGCTTCTCATGATGTCGTGAGCAGTTCGGAGTGTGTAGACACTAACACAAGAGCAATGCCATACAATCTCCCCCCGGCACTAAACTCGCTTTAGCATGAACACGCGACAATGAATGTGATATGGGCGGCAGCCACTGCATGTCAGCAGGAAGCTTGCTCGCCACCATATCCTGCAGACATGTGTTCTACAGACGCGCAGCCTGTCGTGTCGAATCGCACAGGGAAGCCTCCGCACAGCACTTTCTCAGGAACGAGTGACAGCACTTCCGAGTTCACACCTTTCTTCGGGCGAACTGGTTCGCCAGTCCTTTCCCAGGCAAAGCTTAAGCAGGTATGGAATGCGGTGACTCGCGGAACCGCCGAATCCTTCCGAAAGCGCATAAGATAGTGACGGATAGTATAAACAGGCGCCTGCGGGATACTTTTGTTACTGTACCATCCGGTGGAGGGCCGACCCCAGCCATCCCCACCGCACTCGGCCCTGCAGTCCGCCAAGAGAAGAGGTCATCCAGGCCAGTTTGTTACTTCGAGAAGGCACGAATGACTTTGGCGGAGATGTGCAGGAAGAAGATAGACGCGATGAAGGACAGCGAGAGGATGAGCACGATGAACGGGTCACTGCAGACGGAGAAAACAGAGGGGACACCCGTCAGCGGAGCCAAGGAAAGAAAGGATGGTTGGGGAGACGCACACTCGGAGTCCAGGAGAGTCATCCGTGTAGAGTTTCAGCATAGTGTTAGAGGACCCGCCAGCACCAGCAGCCCGCGTCGAGTTTGGCCGTGTCACAGCACCGCCTGCACGTCGCCTGGCACAAGAGAAGAGTTGAGCGCACGTTCTCGCCTGCGTGTCGAACTGGGAATGGACGAACCGAATTTGAGTTCCCACCGGAGGCCTCACACCAGAACCATTAGCCTTGGGCGAAGGAACATCTGAATCAGACTGTCAAGAGCCATGAGAATTGGGCCACCGCGTGAATACGGGAAATGACAGACCATGTATAAACGAAGGAAAGGATTCAGTGGAGGGGTAAAATTTGGCCGGTGAGGAGGGAGGAGTGTAGTGTGACTGACACGTCCTCATCATTCGACTGACACGTCCGCATCATTTGATGTGACATGTCAGGTCACTAGACATTGATGCGAGTGACTGATGGACGCCTCATGGGTCTCTCCGAGACCTGTTCTGCGTTAACCCTGGAATCCTGCAGTCGTTAAACGTTAAACCGTGGCATGGCGCTGAACGTTTGGACCTGAATATACTCTCACCTGCTCGCGACCTTCCGCAGACACTTGGCAAGAATTCTACCGTGGAGTACTTGGGGTGGCACGCGCGCAAAATGCAGCCAATGACCGCCTTTGTGGCGACCACTCAAGACATGTTCTATGTCGGAAGAGCTTGATCTTGGAAACTCCACGCAGAATCTTCCCAGGCAATATGGCCTGGAAGCTGTCGTCTGGAATGGCCATCTCGAGTCTGGGCGCCTTACGCAGTCCCTTTGTTTCAGTGACTCCCAATCACTGTGGCTCTTCGCTGCTGTGCTGAATCTAGGCCTGGCACGGATCAAACGCAGCGGAAGGACTGATGCGCAGGGACGCGCAATTTCTCGCTGGGATTATGAAACAATCTTCAGAAAAAAAGTTGCTGGTGTGCTTGCTCTTCTGCTGGGTCCATCCGCAAATGACAGGATCATACCATCCATCACAGGGCGCATCGCCTTGGCCCTAGCAAGGGCTCTTCTTTTTTCGGCAGCCCATTCCTTCCCTGTCCTGTCTGTCCCTGGTCTAGCTCTGACATCAATGGCGGAGAGTCCTCTTTGCCGGTAAATGTGCCGGCGTTGGGCATTCTTTCGCGCGTATAAAAGCAGAGGCACATTTGTCTGAATGCATCGAACCACTCGAACACCATGCGCGCCAACCTCTTCTGCCTCCTCTCTGCTCTCGTCGCCTGCGCTGCGGGCATGGCCGCCCCCAATGCGGCTGTGGTGACGACTGCTGTGGGAATCCACCCGGGCAACAACTACGGCGCGCCGATCCCGCCCTGGGAGACCGGCTGCCAGCCCGGGTGGTACTACGGACAGCCAAGCAACGCGCCCGCCGAGCTCGCGTCGCTGGTGCACTCTGTTGGCAGTCTCTTCGGCACTGTCCGTTTCTTCGCTTTCCGCAATATGTCTGTGCTCAATACCGCCGATCTAGCTGCTGTGCGATCTCCTGCGCCTGCTGCTGGGATGCGCGTTCTGCCCGTCCGGGCCGCCCCCGCCGACGATGCTTCCGGGCAGCGGCGCCCCGTATAGCAAACCGCCGCCCCCGCCGCCTGCTCCCTACGGCTACAGCTATGGGTTCCAGAATCTCACGTGCGCGATCCAGATCTTCGTGCCGGCCAATGCGTACGAGACGTTCGGTCTGGTCGATTCTCCGCAGGGTAAATCCACGCGCCTTGCGCCCTCCCGCGAGTTTGATTCTGACCGCTATTTCAGCCTGTGCCGACATGTGCACTGCGAACCAAGACTGCTGGAGTGCGAACTGTGCGTGCATGTGACTGACGTGGTTCTCGCTCACTGAATTCAACCTGCTCTCCAGATTACCACGACAACAACAGCATCGTCCGTTGTCCTCTTCCCCTATGGAAAGCACGATTTACTGAATCACTGATTGCAGAAAAGCTCGCCGCTGCTCACGTGCTCGCTGTTCCGTGTCGTTGCGACTCAAAAGGACGCCATCAACTGTGGCCAGCAGCAGCAGCTCGGCCCTCAGGGCCCTCAGAACTCGATCACCTCCAGCTATCTGCTTATCAAGTCCGGCCATTAGGCCCATCCGCTCTCTTTCTTGAATATGTTTATTTACACCTGTCCTCCCCATTAATGTTCCGCTTTAAAATCCACGGCGATTGCCTGTTTGACTTTGTGAAGAACGGCGATGAAAATGGACTGTCAGCTACTGTACATCTCCTAGGTAGTCTGAGTCCAACGCCTGGAAAGGAGACTGTTCTCAGCCTGAGACGCCAAAGCGAACTGAACATGAGGCACGGGAGTCGAAATCGGTCTAGACGCTTCGCATTCAATGAAATCAGGACTGGTACTCGAACAAACAGACGCGGAGAGTGAAAATGTGTGAGATGAGGGTTCGGTTCCTTCATAGAACTATAAATCTCGTGAAATAGATTCGAGAAGATTGATGGCTCTTGTGTCAGTCGGATTTTCAATGAACCTTCCGCGGATTCATAGCCAAGTATAAAAGAGTATAAATGTGTAGGAACCGCGCTTGCATGCGACAGCTTGCACGCCAATCAGCCACGTGCGTGGCACGCGTCCAGAATAACCCAGACTCAGGCCTACTGTTACTGGTGACGACGGCGTGACCAGTTTTGCGTCGAGTCAGACGACGGACTCGTTGACTCGCATGGGGCTACTTACCTTTCCCTTTGACTACCATGTCGCTCATGATCGTACATAACGCTTTCCTCTCACCCCAGCCTTGTGTGCACGGCCCTTTGAATCGCTCTCACGACACTGTAACGACAACCCCACAACGCATGGTTCCAGCAGAATGGAAGTTGGCCCCCCACAACACCCGAGTGCGGCCGGCTTTGTTCCAAGCTTACCACAGCTGCTAGTGTAATCCTTTGAGCTGAATCCCCCCTTGTCATTCCTGAGAGGCTTCGCGATAGCACGGCGATGAGATGAGGTTGTGACAGGGTTCCACCGTGAATTGCTGATTTCTTGGGATCGATGGCGAGCAGGTGCCGACTCTTTCATCTATTATCTCCGGGAATTTCATTTGCGGACTCTCACGATGTCGGCAGGGTATTCCATCGCAGTGCAGCCAGCGCACATTGGGGCTTTTGTTAGGTTCACTCGCAGTGACATGCTCCCAGCACGAGGCCAGTCTTCGTCCAGTCGAACGAACGGAACCGGTTCACCGGTGTCTTGGGCCTGTCACGCGATTCTTCCACCTCCCCCAGTGCTGCGCCGGGACTTTTGCCCTCCGCACAGCACTTATCAGCCGCGCCCGCTCTCCATCTGCCCTGGCCAAGGCGATGGTGGGATAGCGGATCGGCGCGCCTCAGCTTGCCTGATCAGGCGTGTCGTATCAGGGCATAGTGTTACTTGCCTGTCAAGTGTTCTGATCGAAGAGTCGGCGATGTCCTGTGACGATCTAGTTCGTTTGTGCGCGCTTACACCTCCCGTTTGGTTGATCTTGCCTCATGGGAGGGCATTATAACTGTTGCTTGTTTGTTTACTCCGCGTTCTGGCCTCCTCCATTCCGGTCCTAATCGGGGTGCTCCATTGACCTGTCCCACTTATATCACAACCGACCTCATCCCTCCTGCTCCCTGATCGCAGCAGTATCATATCCTGTCCATGCTCAGTCTCGGCCCCGGTTCAGCATGCGACGTATGCCTCGACTCTTTCACGTCGGGCGAGGGCAAGTCCCCATCGTCAATCCCATGCGGCCATGTCTTCTGCGTCGCGTCCGTCGTCCCCCTCGCGCCCGCCTTCTCTGCGCCGTGCTCACGTGCCCTGCAGGTGTCTGCGCCAGATAGCGGCCCGGCCCGTGTGCCCGCTGTGCCGGTCGCCCTTCCAGCCGCGGCACATCGTGCGGCTGCACGTCGACCTCGACAACGTGCGCAACTACGCAGCGGCGGACGGCACGGCCCTCGTGCCGGGAACCGAGTCCGAGGCGCGGCAGCTCCAGGATCGGATCAATGCGGTGGCCCAGCGTGGCGCGTCGGAGGTGCAGACGACCGAGCTGTTGCAGGAGTGCCGGCGGTTCCTGGGAGGCGTGGACCTGAAAACGGTGTGTGTGTGGCGCAGCGATGCTCTTCCATTGAGTCGTAGCAGCGTCGGCTGACACGTCCTGGCGATTAGTTCCCGGAGCTTCGCACGTCGTACTGCATGATGAAGTACATGTGTCACGTGAAGCGGATGTATCTCGAGCAGTCGGCTGTGGTCTCGCAGCACACCCTCCAGACCGACTTGAAGGACAAGGACATCCAGAGCCTGAGGACGGCACTCGACCTGGCTCAGTCGAAGAGGGACGAGCACTCGAAGCTACTGGAAGAGACAGAACGTCATGAGAAGCTGCTTGATGCCCAATGCAGCGAGCTTACCGAGCAATTGGCGACGATGGAAGCCGAGATGAAATTGTTGTCAGAGTGCGTTCATGTCCATATCCGTTCTGGGCCCCAAGCGCTGACGGTTATGCAGGCAAGTGAGTATCTGGCGTCTGAGCTTGTTGGCTTCTTTGGCTAATGCCATGCTCTGTCACAGAACGAGGCCGCTCAAGCCCAACTGCTTCTTGTGACCGACGAGCTCCAGCAGCTGCGCGCTGAGGTCGAGTTCTCGTCACCTGAGGGCGAGAGCCTCGCCGAGTTGCCGATCGAATCGATGCCTCTTTCTCCGATCACGGACTTGAAGCCGCCCACCGCGCCGGATCTCGAGGAAGAAGAAGAGGACGAGCCGCCCGCTCCATTCCTGTCGCCCTGGGCTGCTCTGATCGATTCGAAGACGGAGCCGCTGGAGCCGATGCGAGTGTACTGTGGTGCTGCGGGGTGTCCGCATTCGTGCAACTGCGTGCCGTTTCTGCTGTTCTCGCCCGGGTCGAGGGAGGCCGCTGCTGCACGGGCTCTGGCGGATTCGGCGGTCACGCCTCCCTTGCTCGGATTCTCTCCTCCCAGCGGTCTTTCATTGCACCTACAACAGCAAACGGACCGCTCGCGGTCCCATTCGCGGCCTCGTAGCCGGTCGCTTTCCCGAGCTGCATCGCCCGTGGCTGGTCCACTCAAGCATCATCATCATCATCATCCTTCTTCTTCTGCGCAACAGACCCATATGCGTGGTCGTCTCCATGACATCCTGCACGATCCATTTCCGACGTCATCTTCTCTGCCCAATATGTCGCGGTCCCACTTTCTCCCCCCATCTCCCCCCACGCCGCCCCAGCAGCCGCCGAAGAAGAAGGAGCGCACCGGCAAACAGAAGGAGCGGGAGTCTCTGCCCGAGCCGCTGCCGTTGTATAGCCAGAGGCAATCAAGTCCTGCGGTCGAGGCCCCGCCAAGGTATCGAGTGTCGGGCAGTCCGCCGCAAGATCGGAGGACAGCCACTCCTTCGGCAGTGACAACCCCTTATGTTC